ATGAAATAAGCATTTCTTTGGAAAGGCATTCATCGAGTGAGGAGAGCCAGTGTGAATTTGTTCAAGGCAAATCATATTTACCTGATGATTGAAGTAGTGGTGAAGTTTGATCAAAGTGTTGCAACAGATTTTGGATATATAGACACTTGATTGCAAAATGCCAGTGTGCTGCAAGGGAAGCTAAGTTTATTGGAGTCTTTCTGAGTACAGTGAAGATGATTAGGTTTGTTTGATGACATTGATGCTGGAGTCCCTCAGTGTAGTGTTCCAGGCCCAGTCGCTTTCAGTTGATTCAACAGTGATCTTCCTGTCAATGTAAGGAATTTTGGGATGTTTGGTGATTTGTACAATATTCAATATCGTTCTTAATTTCTCTGATTTGTCTGTGCCCATATATAGCAAGATCTGGACAACATTTGGGCTAGGCTGATGTGACAAGTAACATTGATGGCAACTGTGCCAGACCAAGATTATCACTAACGAGTGATTCTAGCTACCACCCATTACATTCAATGCATTGCTATCACTGAACCTATCACCGTTGACATCCTGCATGTTACTATTGACTGAAACTTTAATACACTAGCTACAAAAGCAGGTTAGAAGCTTTCATTCTCAGAGTTACACACTACTAGTCTTCCCCCCCAAACCCTGTTTGTCATTTGAGACACAATTAGGACTGTGACTGAAAACCCTGCTTATTGATAAGTGTGGCTCTAAAATGACTCTGGGAGTGTAACATTCAGAATAAAGCCATCTGCTTGTTTGACACCACCTTCAACTTTCACTTGCCATCACTGGCGAACAGTGACAGAATTGTGGGTGATATGCAAGATTTATTGCAGTAACTGGCCTTCCTTCGAACCTCCCAAAGCCATGACCTATACCACCTAAGATGCACAAACAACAAACGATTGCCCCCACTTGCAAACCGTTTCCAAGATTTCCCTTCATCTGTGTAGAGTCATGGCCATTCAGCATGGATATCGGCCCTTTGGCCCAGGTTTCCTTAACTGAACTAGTCCCATTTGCCTGCACTTGGCCCATATCACTGTAAGCCTTGCTCATTCGTTTCCCTGCCCAGGTGTCTTTTTAAATGTTGTAATTGTACCTGCCTCTATCAGCTTGTTTCATATACACACCACCCTATGAAAAAGTTGCTCCTCCGATTCCTTTTAAGTCTTTCCCCTCCCTCTAGTTTTGGACTTCCCTACAGGGGGAGAAAACCTTAGCAATTCACCTTGACTGTGCTCCTCACAATTTTATAAACCTCTGTGAGGCCACTCTTCAAGCTCCTGTGCACCGGGAGTCAAGAAGTCCTAGCCTAACCAGCGCCCCCTCATAATTCGAACCTCCCAGTCTTGGTAACATCCTTCTGTAAATTGTTCTTGTACCCTTTCCAGTTTAATAACATCCTTCCTATAATAGGGTTACCAGAATTGGGACTACATTGCTGTTCCTTTCTGTGACTGGGTCAAAATCCTGGAACTCGTTCTAAAGACCACTGGTGCATGTATGCCACGTGGATTGCAGTGGCTTAAACGTTCCAGACCTGTAGAAATAGACTTTGTTAATATAAATGTCTTAACCCTCTTCTAAAGCCCTTAAATCACAGCAAAAAAAAACATACATTGGGAGGAAGGGGGAAGAAAAATTCAGCGATTGAATTCAGTAGCGCAAGTCCTGCGGGTTCGCTAGGATATTCCTTTTGTTTCTCTAAGCCCTTCAATTTTCTGTTTCAGTTCCCTTCAGGAGGCACAAAGCAGCACTTCACAAATTATGACATTGGTTAAAAGCAACAACTTTACAGCAAATGGTGGAAGAAAACAACTAGCTTTCTTTAGCTTCAGATATCTTACTATAGAGAGGGTGGAAGGGGTGGGGGAGGGGATACCAGCTCCCTTTGGGAGGTCTGAGCATTCTTACTGTATCATTCACACCCACAGCTATTATGAACCATGAACCAATTGGAATTGTTGTAAAGGCTGATGACCTTTTGGTACCTGTAACTGGTCCCATTTACACAATCCAATCGAATACTTGTCAATCACATCTCACTTTGTATAAACCCTGTTGCTGTGCTGTGGCCTCTTGCTGCTTCTTCCACTGCTTGCAAAGCAACAGTGTAAACGTGACCCTCAATAGATACCAGTAACCCACTTTTAAAAGTACAGCAAGTCCTTCCTCCATCTATTTCCCAATTCAGTCCACAATCTCAAATAATGTGAATTAAAAGATTATGGTATGTATAGTTTCAAAGGAATGATAGCCACATTTGCTGATGACATCAAGATAGGCAGAAAAGTATGTTTTGAAGAAGATGGAGATAGGTTAAGTAGGCAAAAATTTGGCAGATAAGTATCATGCAGGAAAAGGTGAAGCTGTTAACTTTAGTGGCGGAAAATAAACAGAGTACAGATATTAGAGAATACTGACAGAATTCTCATGTACAAAGGGATTCTGTTGTATGTGTTGCAAAAGTTATCTGCATGTTCAGTATGTAATCAAGATGGGGTGCTATCCTTCATGAGAGAAGTCAAACAAATGTATGGATGTTATGCTTCAGTTACGTTGGTGAGACCACATCTTGAATAATGTATGCAGTTTTGATCTTTTTTATTTAAGGATTGATACGGTTCAATGCAGGCTTACTTGATTCATAAAGGGGTTGGTGAGCTCAGTTGGCTGAACACATCTGCAATTCAGAATGTTGTCAACAGCACAGGGGTTCAATTCCTGCACTGACTGAGGTCACCATGGAAGTCCTGCCTTTTGAACCTCACCCCCTCATCTGAGATGTGTGACCCTCAGGTTAAACACAACACTAGTTGTCCCTCTCTAATGCAAGAGTATCCCTCTGATGCTCTGGGACTGTAATAACTCGTATCTTCATGAGAATGATACCTGGAATAGGTGTGTTGACTTAAGAGAATAGAATGGTTGATCTGATTATTCTGCATCTCCCTAACCCTGATAATCTTTCACCCCATGTTTACCAATAATCTCTCTACCTCTGCTTTTTAAAAAAAGACTCAGTCTCTCGCTTGCAGTGCCTTTTCAGGAAGACCATTTCAAAGACTTGACCCTTTTGAATTTAAAAAAAAAAAAAATTCTCGTCACCGCTTATTTTTAAAGTGATCCCTATTTCTGGATTTTCATAGCAGAGGAAACATCTTTTCCATGCATCTTGCTAAGACCTCTCAGAATCTTGTCTGTTTTTGTCACATTGCCTGTTACTTCTAACTCCAGTGAAGCTTGTCCAACCATTCTAAAACAACCTAGCCATTCCAGATATTAGTCTAGTAAATCCTCTCTGAGCTTCTTCCAATGCGTTAGAATTCTTCCTTAAATAAGACATGCTGCACACACTAATCAAGATTTGACCTCACTACCCCCTGTGTAATTGAAGCAGTGCCTCCCTACATTTCTTTTCAGTTCACCTCTTAATAAAGAATAGTATTCTGTTAGCTTTCCTAATTATCTGTATACTAATCTCTTGTGATTCATGCACATCAAATCAAATCTTTATCCACTCACTTAACCTATACATATGTTTGAAGCCCCCTTAAGTTCTCTGCACAGGTTTCTTTCCTATCTATCTTCGTGTTGTCTGCAAATTTGGCAGCCATGCCTTTAACCCAGGTTATTTTATAGAAAGTTGTTAAAAAGTTGAAATTCTTCTACTCATATCTTTTAAGATAGAAACCAACCAATTTATGTCTGTGAGAGAGATAGGAGGAACTGTCGATGCTGGAGAATCTGAGATAACAAGGTGTAGAGCTGGATGAACACAGCAGGCCAAGCAGCATCAGAGGAACAGGAAAGCTGACGTTTCGGGTCGAGACCCTTCTTCAGAAATAGGGGAGGGGAAGGGGATTCTGAAATAAATAGGGAGAGAGGGGGAGGCGGATAGAAATTTGTCTGTTAGCTAAAGTCATGCCAATATGTTACTCCTACACCATGGACTTCTTTCTTCTGTGCCTTATCAAATGTCTTCTGGAAAACTGAGTACAGTTCATCAAATGCTTTTATTTTCACGAAGAATATTATTTCCCTTTCAGAAAATCTACCCAACTGACATTTGTCTCCTGAGTGGATAGTGTAATTGGTCTTTATGGTTCAGTGGTTTCAAGGATTTGAGCCAGCACAATCAAAAATGGGCTATCTGCTGGAACTGACATGAATGGATTCCAATCTTGCCCAATGGACAGGATTCTTGCTCCTTGGGATAAAAGAACGTTACAAAAGGGACTTGGATTTAATGACTTTAAGTGATATTGGTATTCCATGATAATAGACAAAATACATCACTTCTTAACTGATGAGCACCAATTTCGTTGAGTTTTTAATTCTGCATTGAATAATGGTCGGCACAGTTGCTGAAATTTAAAGCTTGTGCAATTCTCCAAGCTTACCTTGTTGACGGTATTATGAAAAGTATGTTACCTTACAAAACTGGTAACTTAGGAGGAAGAATGTTATTTTCAAGACATGGTTTGTGCATCTTAAATCTAGTGTGTGCTTCTTGCAATATCCACCCCATTGTGAAGATTAGCTACATTCACCAGATCCCATCTCTGCTTCACTCATTTGCTGTTGAAATCTTCATTCATGCCTTTATTGCTTCAGAACTCCTTTAATGCTTTCCTGCCATCTTCCTTTTTTTCCGTTTCAACCATCACCCTTATGCTCGTTGGATCCCAGTCAGGCAGCACTTCAATTTTAAAATAGGATCCTTGTTTGCTCCTATGAGGAGAAACCTTGACATGTTTTGCTGTATTAAATAAATTCCTGTTATGGTTATCCAGTTTTACAGAACATTGCAACTGTCGTTATATCGTGGAAAGTGTTTGAGTGGTTGATCTGTGTGCCTTTATGTTTGTACACTTCACTGGTTTTGTTCTTTTTTTTTTAGAAAAAAAATGTGATTTGAAGCAATTTATTTTCATCTTCTGGTTCTGGTAAAAATAAGAACAATGATATGCATGCTTTCATTCTAGGGTTAGCAGAACTGGCACATCGTGAATATCAAGCAGGAGATTTTGAGGCAGCTGAGAGGCACTGCATGCAACTTTGGAGACAAGAACCTGATAACACTGGTGTTCTTTTGCTTCTCTCCTCCATACATTTCCAGTGTCGCAGATTGGACAGGTAATGAGCAGAAAGCTAATCCATTTCATATAAGACCACCCCTTGACATCCAATGTTCCAGGGAAAATAGCGCCAGCCTATTCAGCCTCTGTCTATAGTGCAAACCCTTCTACCCAGGCAACATTGTTGTAAATCTTTTCTAGCCCATTCAAGTTTAACAACATCTTTCCTATAGCATGGAGACCAGAATTGAATGCAGCATTCCAAAAGCAGCCTAACCCATGGTCTGTAGGCTGCAACATGACCTCCCAATCATGAGGGGCATGGATAGGTTGAATAGTCAGATCTTTTTCCCAGGGTAGCGGAGCCCAGAACTAGAGGGCATGGGTATAAGCTGAGAGGGGGAAGATTTAAAAGGGATCTAAGGGGTAACGTTTTCACCCAGAGAGTGGTGCTTGTATATAATGAATGGCCAGAGGAAGTGGTGGAGGCTGGTACAATTGCAATATTTAGAAGGCATCTAGAATGTACATGAATAGGAAGGATTTAGAGAGAGATGGGCCAAATGCTGGCAAATGGGACTAGTTTAATTTAGGATATCTGGTCAACATGAATGAGTTGGACCAAATGGTCTGTTTCTGTGCTGTATGTCTCTGACTCTAAGTGAATGAAAATTTTTTCATTGGAAAATTTAGTAAACTACCTTTTTTGTATGGTCAATTGAGTCAATGTAATATATTTAAAGGGAGCATGGATATTTCAATGACCTTCTTACAAAGTAAGTAGTCTGATTGTGAAGACTGCATTTTACTATTTGATGTGAGGAAATAAAAATCGGGAATAAATTTGTAAGAATTTTGTAACATTTTATCTTTAGGTCTGCTCACTTCAGCACTCTGGCTATCAAACAGAACCCCATGTTGGCTGAGGCCTATTCAAACTTGGGAAATGTCTATAAAGAGCGTGGACAACTTCAGGAGGCTATCGAACATTATCGACATGCTCTTCGGCTCAAACCAGACTTTATAGATGGATACATCAACTTGGCAGCAGCACTAGTTGCAGCAGGAGACATGGAGGGTGCAGTGCAAGCCTACGTATCTGCCCTACAGTACAATCCTGTAAGTAAGGAAGCAATTTTGGTCAGATTTTTTAAACTTCATATTCTGGTATAAGGATTGTAGGTTATTCACTACCATTTGAGCTGACCATATAAATTTAAGCTGCAGTTCCACTTTGCATAGTTCTGTTTTGTTTTCTGACTGAAATTTTGTTTGCTTTTTTAATTTCATGTAGGGCATACTTTTTTATTTTTCAGTCTTTTTGATGTCATTTACAGTCGAAATGACTCCAATTGGTGAACACAAAATTGATAAACCTCTCAAAGCATACCCAGTTAGGACTACCTGCAGTCCAGTTGCTGAATGGATCTTTCAGGACTGATTGAGAAGAATCCTATTTGCTAGTCCCTTTGTTGATCTTGGATTGTCATCAGCAACGCTCAAGAGGTACTTGCTATGTGTAGGCACATAGTTAAAACTCCTTGCAAATTGACAAAGGTCCTGTCTTCCATCAGCAGTTAGGTCATTTTGAAGTTTTGTCATCTTGCACTCAACACTAAATAGATTCCACTTACATTGTTTTTCCTCTTGGTTCATGCATGTGGAAATAGGTAAATGTAGGTTCCAGGCTTCTCTGGAGGAGCAGAAGAAGCAAGGACCCTCAAGATATGCATAGTTAGCTGTACAGTTTGCTGTAAATTGAATATCACTAAGCCCCTGACCAAACACACAAATGTGAATTCTATATTCAGTGGTGATTCTACAACTATAAGTTATGGAACCTCTACAGCAGTAATGATACTCAAACTATCTATCTGCCCATTTTATGAAGATTTAGACCTGTGCTTGGTTACCTGTTTGGCTAGAAGATGGGAAAAAAAAGAAGCTAAATGTGACCCTTGGGTGTAGAGTTAGCTGACATGTCTAATCTCACCAGGATAGATACTAACTTCAGCAGTATGTACTAAAATCTGAACAATACAAAGATGATTAATGTGATCCCTGCACAAGGATGACATGCAAATTTGTGAAGCGTTCCACCTCTCAGGCTCTTTGAATGCCCAGCAACAGAGAGCTAGAACAGGTTTGCAGCTGCAGAGATGGAAACAAATGGTAGCCTGTAGCAATGGATGATTAAAATTGGAGCTCTTGATCTCGATCTGGTATGTGCAAGGCTGGTTTTGCTCGTGATGATGCCCTTTTGTGCTGTCTTACCCTCTATTGTTGATCACCCAAGACCAAAATGCATATCCTGACCCTTAAGTACCCCATTGACCATGGTGTTATCACCGATTGCGATGATATCGGCAAGATGTAGCATCATACTTTCTATAGTGAACTCTGGGTATTCTTCAGGAGCAACACAGTCATCTTCACAGAAGTCCCCCGAAGCTAACAGAAAATTTGACAGAGATAACAAGTGTGGAGCTGGAGGATCAGAAGAATGGCCCCGACCCAAAACGTCAGCTTTCCTGTTCCTCTGATGCTGCCTGGCCTGCTGTGTTCCTCTGACTCCAGCATCCACAGTTCTTGCGACCTCAAAATTTAACAGTTTGTTTGAGACTTTCAATACCCCTGCCATGTTGCCATCCAGGCTGGGCTGTCCCTTTATACCTCTGGTGATTAACGACACCATTTGGTATCGTGATGATATCTCCCATAGTGTACCTATCTACGAAGGTTACGCCCTACCCTGTGCGTGTCTGGCTTTGGCTGGCCATGATCTGACAGTCTACCTCATGAAGATCCTGACAGAAAGAGGCTGCCCTTTCACCACCATAACTAGGGGAGAAATTGTGATATCAAGAAGTTCTGCTATGTTGCACTGGACTTTGAACTGGAGATGCCCACTGCTGCTTCCTCCACCCTGGAGAAGAGCTAGGAACTGCCTGAAGGGCAGGTAATGAATGATTTAGATGCCCTGAGACACTCTTTCAACCATGTTTCTTGAGTATGGAATCCTGTGTTATCTCTGAGACCGCTTATAACTCCATCAAGTGTGATGTAGATTTCAGGATGGATTTGTATGCCAACACTGTCTTGGCTGGTGGTACTACTGCATATCCTGGTATTGCAGGCTGTATGCAGAGGGAGATCACAGCTCTGTCTCCAAGTACTATGGCCCCACCTGTATGCATGTAAATACCAAGTCTGGATTGGAGGTTTCATCCTGGGTTCAATGTCCATCCTCCAGCAGATGTGGATGAGCAAATGATCTGTATGTCCTTGCTAACTATGATCTGCCTGTACTGCTCAGAAGCTCACTATACTTGGGTACACGTGAAAATAAATAAACCAAATCATCTGATGAATCTGGACCATCCATTATCCTCCACAAATGCTTCTAAGCAGACTAACCTTTCACAACGGCTGTGCGAGATGAATTGGCATGGCTTTAGTGTTTGTCTTAGGAATAAAAACTGGAACAGTGGTGGGAAGAAAAAAACTAAAGACCGGGTGTGCAAGTGCACATTCCCAATGCATTCTGTGTACTGTCTTCCAATAATTGTTGTCCCAACCATTGGATACATATTTTCAGCACACTGGAAAGATAGGTCACAATGTGAAAGCCTCATTAGGCACTTTGTAGGTCAGCAGTAAGGCTTAATTCTAATGTTGGAGATATAAGAATCAAGATAAATAACTTTGGCCTTCCATTCATGCAGTGATGTTTTTATTTTGGAGTTTCCTGTAATTGAAATACTTAGCAGAAGTAAATGTAAAGGCAGTAGCAGTAGCTTTGGATAAACAGAATCTAGCATGTGAATAACCACTAAACACTGCAGAATTAATTTTGAGACAGGTAGGCTTGCCAAAAGAATGGCTGAGGTAATGATGCTTGCTTAATTGCAGTATTGAGTACAGTTGGTATTTTGGAGCATTGCAAGTGTTGCCTCTTCCTAATCTATTTTGACATCTACGTAGTCATTTCAATGCAGAACGCTATGGCTACTTGTTCACCACTATAATAATAGATTTTAAAAGTCCTTTCATGGGATGTAAGGTTCAATGGCGAAGCCAGTAATGGTTGTCTGCTCGAAGTGTGCTTGAAAAGGTGGTGCTGAGTTATGCTTTGAACTATTGCCATCCATCTGGTGCAGCTTTGCGATAAGGTAGAAGTTCCAGGATTTTGATCCATGATGTAGTTCCAAGTCAGAATGGCGTATGACTTGGAAGAACTTGCAGATGTTGGTCATGTGTCTGCTCCTCTTGCCCTAGAAAGGGGATATAGAATATACTGTCAGAAGAGGCTTGGTGAGTTGGGGTAGTGCATCATGTATATTCTATGCATATTATACATAGGAGGAGTAAAAGTTGATAGTAAGGAGTGGGATGCCGGTCAAGCTGGTTGTTTTGTTCAGTGTTGCTGGAGCTGCAGGCATCCAAACAAGTGGAAAGCATTCTATCACACCTGACTTGGTTCGTCGTAATTGGTAGGCAAACTGCTCTTGCTCAGTTTCTAGTCCTGATGGGTGGAAGAAAGTGAATTTTGTTCAGTTACAGAAAGTCTCTATCTGAGGTGTTGTGAACAGTTCTGAACATTGTGCAATAGTCAGTGGGCACTTCTCACCAATTGCAGTTGCTGAAGATGTTTTGGACCAAGGGCAGTACCTGAGGTGGTACTTTAACAACGTAACAGAACTTGGATGACTCGTTTCCAACAATCACAAGTGTTAGTTATGTGAGATACTTAAGTATAAATGCTTAGTTTAAAGCTTTGCGAGAAGAAACTTGAGTCTGAGTTGGAGTCTTTGCTGAAAGTCCTTTTTTATAGGTTAATAAAAGCCTGGTGTTGATTCCTTAGCAACTCTCAGCTATAAGGAGAATTGTTTTCAAATAATGCTGATACCCCACCAGCATACATTTGAATATCTTGTCTTTTTAGACAGAAATGGAAGACCAATGTATGTATTAACTTCTCAACTGTGTTCTAAAGAATTAGTCACCGGTATATTTGGTATACCACTATTTTGAATTGCCATAATGAGTCAATTGGAATAGATGGCCCTTTTTTTCTAGTCCCCTTTAAGCAAAATCATTATTGCACACATGGTAAAAACTACTTCTGTAACTGAATTTTAATAACAAAAATATACAGGATTGTTATTTGAGTTGAGGTTAAAGTCAAACAATAATATTGATTTTTGTTTTCGTGAGAAAGAACACAGTTATCAAAGGATTTTAAAGTGGAAGAAGATGACCAGAAACGTGTGCAGTCTTAATATTTTTAATGGTATTCGATCTTGCATGTTAAGTCAAAACCAAGTATGGCCTCAAAGTGGAGCATGTTTAAAAGTTGAAACTGGCTTTGGATTGGGATGTACATCCTAATCCAAAGCCAAAGTTATTAATTTTTAAAATTCTAATACTAACTATTAATGGAAGCTTTTTCTGACTGTAATTGATTCCTGCAACTAATGGAGATGCTGCCTTGACTACTTTGATAGCGTTTAAGTGCAAGATTTCAGAATTTGAAGTTGGCAGAAGTTGTTTTAGTTATAAGAACTAGGAGCAGGAGTAGGCCATCTGGCCCCTCGCGCCTGCCCTGCCATTCAGTAAGATCATGGATGATCTTTTTGAGACGTGGCTCCACTTACCCGCCTGCTCACCATAACCCTTAATTCCTCTCCTGTTCAAAAATTTACCTAGCCTTGCCTTAAAAACATTCAGCGAGGTAGCTTCAACCGCTTCACTGGGCAGGGAATTCCACAGATTCACAACCCGTTGGGTGAAGAAGTTCCTCCTGACCTCAGTCCTACACCTGCTTCCCTTTATTTTGAGGCTATGCCCTCTAGTCCTAGTTTCACCTGCTAGCGGAAACAACCTCCCTGCCTCCACCTTACCTATTCCCTTCATAATCTTATATGTTTCTATAAGATCTCCCTTCATTCTTCTGAATTCCAATGAGTATAATCCCAGTCTACTCAGTCTCTCCTCAATCCAACCCTCTCAACTCTGGAATCAACTGAGTGAATCTCCTCTGCATCCCCTCCAGTGCTAGTATATCCCTTCTCAAGTAAGGAGACCAAAACTTCACACAGTACTCCAGGTGTGGCCTCACCAGGACCCTATACAGCTGCAGCATAGCCTCCCTGTTTTTAAACTCCATCCCTCTAGCAATGATAGACAAAATTCCATTTGCCTTTTTAATTACCTGCTGCACCTGCAATCCTACTTTGTGATTCATGCACAAGGACACCCAAGTTCCTCTGCACAGCAGCGTGCTGCAATTTTTTATCATTTAAAACATAGTCCATTTTGCTGTTATTCCGACTAAAATGGATGACCTCACACTTACCAACGTTGTACTCCATCTGCCAGACCTTTGCCCACTCACTTAGACTGTCTATATCCCTCTGCAGACTTTGTGTCTTCTGCACACTTTGCTCTACCACTCACCTTAGTGTCATCTGCAAATTTTGACACACCACGCTTAGTCCCCAAGTCCAAATCATCTATGTAGATTGTAAACAATTGCGGTCCCAGCACTGATCCCTGAGGCACACCACTAGCCACTGACTGCCTACCAGAAAAACACCCATTTATCCCTACTGTTTTCTACTAGTCAACCAATCCTCTGTCCATGCCAATACATTACCTGTAATACCGTGCAACTTTATCTTATGTAGCAGCCTTTGGTGTGGCACCTTGTCAAATGCCTTCTGGAAATCCAGATACACCACATCCACAGGTTCCCCATTGTCCACCATGCAAGTAATGTCCTCAAAGAATTCCACCAAATTAGTTAAACATGACCTACCCCTCATGAACCCATGCTGGGTATTCCCAGTTATCAGTTTGGACGTAGTATAGTCCTGAAATTTGATTGAAGTTAAAATCTTGAGTGCCAATAAAATAAATTATCTTAATAGTTACTTTGAATTTATTATCTTTATAGTATCAACATCTTTCCTGTTACAAAGTCAGTTGTAAGCAATGCCACCTGAGACCTGCTTGTAATTAACACGAGGTTCATGTTGCAATTAATTGTACCTGTAAACCAAATTTCCTTTTGCTGTTTTTCATATAGCTTTTGGGTTTGTTCAGTTTCAAAATACTTAGCTGTGCAGAAATGACAGCTCCAATCTTGTTGCAAGCCAGCTTATGTGACAGCTAGTTATTTATTTCCCCTCTCTCGGGCTGTAGCCTGAAAAATGATTTGCTTTTTTGTTTTGTTGAAGTGATGTATGCAGACTGGAACCACTGAACAGCTTAATTTGCACTTTGAGATTTCTGTACATAGATTAGGAGCAATGCACATAAAGTGAGATAGTTGGGTCACGTTTCAGCAGCAAATTGACTAGAGAATTTGGAGATGTAATTATGAATCTCAGTTGAGATATTGGTATGATCTTGTATTTTCAATTTAAAATCAAAAAGCTCTTCAGATACAATTTCATAAATCATTAACCTATTACTGTTCTTTTGACAGGATTTGTATTGTGTTCGCAGTGACCTGGGGAACCTCCTTAAAGCCCTGGGTCGCTTAGAAGAAGCCAAGGTAAGTGATGTTGTTGTTAATTGAATCACATTGTGCAGAGAAACTCTCAGACAATCATGTTAGCAACGCATCATCCTGAATAGTAGTTATATTGAGTGGATAGTAAGCATGGAAAATGATAAACTGTACACCACTCGTCAGAGATGGCTGGAGGAATCTGACTGAACAGGTGTAGTAAGAAATACAGGCTCCCATGGTTAAGTAAAGATTCCTTTTGAAAAGGATTGGCTGAAATAGTACGAATCAGTACAGTCCTCCCCCTTTTTAAATCCTGTTTCTGTTACAGAGACACGTCAGCTACTTTCACCATATGCACTCCTCACACAGACTGTCAACATTAATGGGAAGAAAGGTTGCATTTGTAATAGCTGCTGTTGCCATGTAACATCCCAAATTTTGAGTTATCAAAGCTTGTCTCTGCCGTGCTGGTTTCGTCTTGAGAAACGAACTGATGTACCAGATTTGCTCAGTTAATAAGGTGGCTTCTAGCGGCTGAATTTCTTTTGATGTAGTTTAGTCTTGGAATTTAAGTGATGTCGATCACCCATACTTCAAATTCTCATTTTAAGGTATGTGTATGTGTGTATATATATATATATATATATGTGTGTGTATGTACATGTATACATGTGTGTGTGTGTGTGTGTATATATACACATACAAATACACCCTTTTGGAGAGTTAAAAGCCACCTTATGCAAAGCCACAGAGGGGCAATGAATGGGAGGAGAGGGGGACCTCATCCAGAGTCCCTCAACCTGACATTCTGAGTCCCGCGCGCTTGCAAAGTGGAGTGTCTGCGCAGCGTAGCTGTCCATTTGACTTTGTGTATGTGTGCTTATGGGGTAGAGCGAGAAGGCAGGGTGGATGGGTGGCTGTGGGGAGGTGGGGTGACAGTGATCAATGGGGTAAATAGTGCCTCAGCCCACAGGCCGTTGAATGGAGAGCTAACTTTCAGTGCATTCCACTGCGGCTTCAATCTGTATAAAGTGAGACTGCGCTTGCTCCTCGATGCTGACTTCTTTATTTCAGCGGTGGAAGGCGATAGTTAGATGTTTCGTTCGATGAAGTGTAAAATGAGATTTCATTTAAAGCTCTGATCGGTACGTTTAAAAGACAAAACCAGCAGATATTTAGTGTGGCTAGTTTGTAAATACAACTTTCTTGTGAGATGTGAAGGCCCTTTCTTCCTTGAATTTGAGGCTGTCTGGTATGTTAAGGAGATGTGAGAATAACAACCCTCACTCCACCCCATCCTCTCCCGCACCTCCCTTGCCCACCCCTTGCCACCAGACTCGTGCCTGTGTGTGTTTTCAATTTGGATAGGCAAAATCTAAACCCCTCCAAATAGATAGGTGAAACAAAAGTTTTAAGTCTACAGAATCTTTATTTTTGCTGTTCGGTGATTCGATGCTTTTATAGCAGACCACCGACTTTTTAGTTTGTTTCTTAAAGCTGGTGCCCCAAACATGTCATTGTCAGACGCAGTTGTACATTTGAGCACTTTGAATGCATGAATTGAAGCTAAACACATTAACTGCTTTGGAACATAAGCGTGAAATTGTCTGTGTATTTTTTTTCTTTCAGAAGATTGCATTTTAGAACAAATCCAGGAATATGTTGTTGGACTCTTTACTAACTATTTTGTCTTTCTTATTTGTCTTTTTCGTTTTCATGATTGATATTATACATAGAAGGTTTCAGGCGGGTGAAAGCTCTCCCCTGTAGGTGCCTCGCTGACCGGAGGTCGAGGCCAGGATCTAGGGGTGACACCGTCTGCTCTTCCCATCATCGACTACCCTGAAAATGAGATGAAATAATGGTAACGGGTTTGTAGCACTGCCACAAACAATTTGCCTCCATGCCTGAGTTCTTCTGTCTCGTGGCTTCCAAAAAAAGTGTCTAAATAAATAAGTATTCTTATTTACTTCTTAAAAATGGGAAAAATAACTGTAATTTGGAAGAAAAATTGTTCAACTTGATGCGTGTTTTTAAAGTAGCCACTGTCTTAGAAAAAATTATTTATAAATTTTAAAATTGGCAATAGCTCTACAAAGTACCAGTAAAGCTTCTAACTACTGATTTTGTTAATTTCTTTCCTCTTTGTTTGGTTTGCAGCATTCTGCTCTACTGATCATGCGCTGTGAGCCTGCAGTAACGCATAGGCTGCGCGGCGATGCGCCTGCGAGCGCCAGCGTTATTCAGTAGATAGCTGGCTGAGCATCTACCTTAGATAGTTCTGAGTAAAGTGTCCAGGTTGTCACTGGTGCCTGTTAATTCTGACTGGCGTCAAAAGAATAATATCTGCAGCATGGCCTTGTACAGCTGCTCTGTCGTAATACTTTTAATTTCCTAGTTCTTCTGTGAATTCTAACTCTTCTTAATCTTTTTGATTGAACTAGTGATTTTTAGTTTTGATATTTGGCTTTAATAGTGATTTATTTATTCTTGGGTACAGTGAAATTGGCAATGTGTAATCAATTCACAGCCTGGACAATTGATCACCTGTATCTCTAGTGATTTCTTTGCTGTGCCTGAGGTACAAAGTGCTGCGGACTACCAGTGGTAACTTTTTCAGCTGGCTATTTACTTTGCAGTTTTGCATCTGCGCATGCGTGCGCTGTGCTGCAATTTATTTTTTTCTCTTCTTTTTAAAAAAATTTTTTTTCCCCCAAATCTGCGCCTGCGAACTGCTGGTGACGCCGCTGCAACATGTTGCAGAGCCATGTGTGGCGCATTGGCAATAGCGCTTTGCGTTACAGGGACCTTTATCTTCATCCAGCACTGTCATTTGAGGTTGTGCACTTTTGCTGTTCAGCATATTTTGATAGCTAGCGAAACATCCATTGTTATAAGAACATCTGAAGGCAGTTGTTAATATGTAATCTGAACCATTCAATACCCTTTGTAAACTCAGTTACCCTTCTGTACAATCAATGCTGGTCATATTGCTAATAAAATCTGTAGTGGAAGAGGACATAATATCTGATAAAACAGCTGCAGAAACTCTTTGGATAAGTTAACAGGTTCTGCAGCAAACAATGCAGAAATGTTATCATGTTTTAAGTAGTCTGATTATGGCGAAGGTTGAAAAAGAGAACTGTATTCTTGCATTAATTCATAACTGAAAAATGACTAGCTGCATGTGGGTCAAGGTTTTTGCGCATGCTCTCATGGGGCCAGCGAGCGAATTCAGCGCTAGCCTTTGCTGCAGGTTCACTTTTGCCTGGTGTGAGAATGAGCACTAATAAAGTTTTCTTTTGCCTCCTTTCAATCTGTGTGACAAATCTCCCATCCCTTCTTCCTGGTTCCCTCTCTTGTTTCAATTAAACTAATTAAGGCTTGTTACCTGAAAGCGATTGAGACTCAGCCAAACTTCGCTGTTGCCTGGAGCAACCTTGGATGTGTGTTCAATGCCCAAGGAGAGATTTGGCTGGCTATTCACCACTTTGAAAAGGCAAGTGATCAACACTTTCAACACCACACTTACATATTCCCTCTAAACAAAAATGAGATGTTGTAACTTCGGTTTTGATCACGTAAACAGAATAAGTGTTTATTTAATAGCATGTTTTGATCACCTGAGTATTTGATTTTTGCTATCTAGCTTTCTATGGAAATCTGTGCTTTCTGTCGCAATATCCAGCTGTCTGAGTGTTTAGATTTCCTGAACTTCCAGAAGACCATCTTGGATACATGTTGTTGCCTGTCTAAATACGTCCTCGAGTCAAGCTTTAAGTTGCTTAATTAAAAATGAAAAACAGATCAGTATTATTTTTGACCTACCTTCACTTCACTTTCACTTTCTTAATTTGGGATTCATTTTGATAGGCTACCTGTCTGCTGTGACTGTATATCTTGTGTAAGGCTGACCATCCCTCGGATACTTTCTCTCATTGGGGAATTATCTGGTCTCTGTTCAGCTGTCAAGTTATTGTGGTGAGCTCCTTGAATTACACCGTGCTATTCATTTGGTCCTGTATCTTGGAGGAATTTTTTTTGTTTGTTTTTACGAGGTTACAGGCCATGAATTTCAGAATTTGGAAACGTGAGTAAATGCACAACATTTTCTGTGCAATGGTGGTGTAATTGCTGGTATATGATTCCTGTCTTTGTATCAACAGTAAATTGACAGTTATTCTTGCGCCAGTCCTCTAATGTCAGTAAGTTTTTTTTTTTAAAGAATTGCTTTCTTGTTCCAGAGTAGCAAGTTTGACATTTTAACATTGAAAGTTTCTGATGTAAAATCTGGTATTGCTAGAACTGGTTGCCAGCTCTCCTCAATTTCATTTGGTATCTCGATATTTTGAAAACGATTCATAAGCGTTCTAAAATTTAAGAAAAAAGGACTTTTTTCAGTAAGGAATTATTAAAGTTGTGGTGGTTACAGCCCAGGATATCAGTTGGTGAAAGTGATACTAAAGTTGACTTTTTATTTGACTTCTATTTTGTAATAGAATGGAACTTTACAGTCAAATGCCTTGCAAACTTAATTGCATCCCACAGTGCTACCAAGTGTCCCTGGATATGTACTGAAATTGTTGACCCTGCATAGTCCAGCTTGCTAAAAGTCTGAGGGCTGGGGCCAAGATTGGAGAGCTGTCTCACAGACTGACAATGTTTGCAGGGTATGATTCCATGAATACACTAGTGCCCCAAGTACCCCAGTTACTGTCCCTTGGTAGGTACTGTCCCACCAGCCAGATGGGCCCAGCACAGGTCAGTACGCAGTTGGGAGAGGGTTGCTCGAACCTTGTGATCACCACCCCCAGTTCTCAGCTGATGAATGAGTACTCCTCCATGTTGAACACCACTTGGAGGAAGCAGTGAGGGTGGAAGAGTGTAGAATATGTTCTGGGTGTGGGATGTCCAGTATTTATCACTGAGTGGCTTGGCAGCACTATTACTGACTGAGGTGGTTGAATCCTGAAGCGCACAACGCTAGACTGGGTCTGAGATAGGTGGCGAGGGAACCAACAAGCGGGAAAACATACTTGGTCTGCTAGCTACAGAGGCATCTGTCCACGACAGTGTTGTTGCAGTGACCACCACTGATACCTTGTGGTGACAAAGACCTATCTTCATACTGAAGGTATACTGCATTGTGTGTTGTATGGCATTTCTAGGTTGCTAAGTGGACTAGATTTTATCCATATTTTAGGAACTCCAAGCCCACAGCATCTTCTTGGAGGCCATCAGCAGTAGAAGAATTTTACTTCAACAGAATCTACAACCACAAGGTCCAGAGTACACTTCACTGCCAGTACTGTCAAGGGTGCAATGGAGCATGCTTGGAGCAGCACCAGCCATGCCTAAAGTTGAGGAGTTGACTTGGCAGAGCTGCAGAATCAGACATCCTGTGTGCCTGTCAGCATAAGCAGCAAATTATGGAGCATAAGTGATATCCATCGGATTAGTTCCAAGTACGGCAGTCCCGCCACATCTAGTAGTCAATGGTGATAGTCAGTTAACACCTTACTGCTGGAGGAAGCTCCACAAATATCCCCATACTCAATGATGTGGAGTCCAGCATATCCGTGCAAAAGGTAAGGCTGAAGCATTTCAGCAATCAATAGTATTGATGATTGATGCTCCAGAACCGACTGCATTCCTAGCCAAGCTGTTCTAGCACGGCTGTGACACTTCCATTTATCCAACAATGTACTAAATTGTCCAGTTGTGTCTCGTAGACTATAAAAGCAGGACAAATCTAACGCTTCCTGTTACCAATCCATCGGTCTATTCTTGATCATTGATAAAGTAATGGAGCGGACCTTCAATTACCCTACCAAGCAAGACTTGCTTAGCAATAACCTGACCGACTATCCGTTTGGGTTCTGCCAAGATCTTGCTGTTCTTGACCTTCATTACAGACTTTGTTCAAACTTTGACAAACGATCTGAGCTGCACAACCAAGGAGAATGACTGCCCTTGATATTAAGACCTCATTTGATCTGGTATGGCATCAAGTTGCCCCTGCAAAACTGGAGTGAATAGGAATAGAGCGGAAAGCTCTCTTCCATTTGGAGTTGCACCCAGCTCAAAGGAAGGTGGATGAGATTGTTACAGGGTAGTTATTGCAGCTCCATCCCTGCGTGAGTTCCTCAGGTCCTAGGCCCATTGTCTTCAGCTGCTTCATCAATGACCTTCGCTCCATCATATGGTCAGAATTGGGGATGTTCATTGATTTATAATCAATGTTCAGTACCATTCCTGATTCAGATACTGAAGCAGTCGATGTCCAAATGCAGAAAGAGCTGGACAAAATATCAAAGCTTGGGCTGAGGATTGGCAAGTAAAATTCATGCTACATAAGTATCAGGCAACAACCATCCCCACAAGGGAATCTAACCTTTCTCATTAAATGAGATTACCATCATTGAATGCCTCCTGGGGCGTACCATTGACCCAAAGATATTGAACTAGTGACCGATATTGTGCCTGGAAAAGCAGATCAGAAGCTAGGAATTCTGCAATGAGTAACTTACCATCTGACTCCCAATGCTTAGCCACTATCTGCAGGCATAATTCAGGAGTGTGATGGAATACTTCCCATTAGGGGCAGCACGGTGGCTCAGTGTTAGCACTGCTGCCTCACAGCGCCAGGGACCTGGGTTCGATTCCACCCTGGGGCAACTGTCTGTGTGAAGTTTGCACGTTCTAACTGTGTCTGCGTGGGTTTGCTCCGGTTTCCTCCCACAGTCCAAAGATGTGCAGGCTAAATGGATTGGCTATGCTAAATTGCCCATAGTGTTAAGAGGTGTATAGATTAGGTGAGGGATGGGTCTGGGAAGGATGCTGTGAAGGTCGGTGTGGACTTGTTGGGCCAAAGGGCCTGTTTCCACACTGTAGGGATTCTATGAATCAACCATCCCAACTGATCACTTGCCTAGATGACTGCAGCTCCAATAGCACTTGAAGCTCGTGGGTTTTTTTTAGCATGCAGGCCTAAAGAACCAGTTTGATTAGCACCATATCCACTCCCTTCACCACCAATAATCAGCAGTTTTGTACCATCTACAAGATCCACTGCTCAATTACACCCATGACAGCGTCGTCTTCAAAATCCATGATTAAGTTCAGTACATCTGGTAATGTGTGAATAAGCAGCAGTAACACTGTGTGAAGCTGGAGGAACACAGCAGGCCAGGTGCCATCAGAGGAGCAGGAAAGTTGACATTTCGGGTCAGGACCCTTCTTCAGAAATGGGGGAGGGGAAGGGAGCTCAGAAATAACTAGTGTGGAGGGGTGGAGCTGGGGAAGATGGGTGGGATGGTGATAGGTGAGTACAGGTACTACAGTGGTAGGGATTGGTCAGTTAGGTGGGAGAGAAGGTGGACAGGTTGTGTCAAGTCAAGGAGGCGTTGGTCATGGGATGAGGCCGTGGGTGGGGAGATTTTGAAACTGGTAAAATCCACGTTTAGGCCATTGGGCTGTAGGCTCCCAAGGTGGAATATGAGGCGCTGCTGCTCCAGTTTGCGGGTGGTATCATTTGTAACACTGGAGGAGGCCCAGGTTATCGTAGAAAAAGAACTTTGTTTTACCTAATGAAGGATATGATCAGTATGTTTTATTAAATACCAAATGGTTTAAATTTAGCATTGTGAACTTTGAAATAAATGTAGTTGCGGTTTGTCCTGAAACGTGAGGGTGGAGTGCGGGAAACTGATCTTTTATCCTTGGAAACTGACAAAGTTAATAATAAATGTAGTGTTAGCATGTGATGGGGAGTTTTAAGTTCGCCTGCTAGTTTCCTTACCTGATTTGTGGCTATGGAGAATGCATTGGTATTAATTTGTCATCTGATAGCTGACTATTTAAGCTTCAGTTGTCCTGCATTCAGCAGATGGCAAATGGGACCATTTATTGCTACCATATGTTGCCTACTCAACCTGAAGTCAAGGTTCACATCTTTTTTGATACATCCCTATTTGACTCCATTCCCTATCTCTGCAATATCTTTCCCTAAAACCTTCCGGCCACTCGTGGGTTTCTGCGTTGCGCATAGTTGGTGGCAGAGACTTTGGGCATCTCACTGCTTTTTTTTTTTGTAATTATTTCTCATGCCTCCTGTGTCTGACTCCTTTTCAATAAAAAATCTCTTCAGTTTTTTTTAACTGTTCTAATCTCCTCGTTTCCAGATCAGTGTCTGTGTTCTTTGTGCATGCCTGTGAATGACATTTTTAATATTAAAAAGTTTTTTTTTTTGAAAATGCTTCCTTTGCTCTTCCCTTCCCCATTGTTACTAACACTGAAATTGATTGTAAATTCTATGTTTTTACCTAAACAAAGTAACACCATATAGAGATAGTAGGAACTGCAGATGCTGGAGAATCTGAGATTACAAGGTGTAGAGCTGGATGAACACAGCAGGCCAAGCAGCATCAGAGGAGCAGGAAGGCTGACGTTTCGGGCCTAGACCTTTCTTCAGAAATGGTATAGATCAGGGAATGTGAGGTTCAACATAATTCTAAAGTGATGCTTATAATTATAATGAAGTATAATTACCATTAAAAGTGGCATCCATTGCAACAGTCCAGCTCAGATGCAATTGGTGTTATCACAAAGGATGTTGACTATAGTATCGGGTAACCAAGTAGGGTTTGGTGTGTCTTGTCTGAATGGAAGGTAATTACATGAACCATGTCTTTATTTGAGTTGTTTGAAGTAACTTTGCTGTTATGCCCAATAGATATTACGGATGAGTTAGTTTATTAATTACTATGAAATTACTGAGATTTTCATGATCTAATTTCTGTTGTAAAACTCCAGCATCAAAGCCTGTGGTTAAACTCTAGAGGCGGGATTGTTTACACAAACTTTTTACATAAGCTGAAATTCCATTATTGAACAATGTATTGTCAGTCTTGTAAAGTTGCTGATGTCCTGTCTTAATCCACTGTATATTTGAATTCTTCAGTTTTTCATAAATTAGTCTTGGCTTTATAAGATATTCAAATACTTTTTGAGATAAGTTGGAGAGCAACAACTTTATCCATTGAATTTTATGATGGTTTATAATTGAATTTTAGGCTGTTACCTTGGATCCTAATTTCTTGGATGCTTACATCAACTTGGGAAATGTGCTGAAGGAGGCTCGCATTTTTGACAGGTGAGCAAAGAAGTGTTAAGAATTTAAATCTTCTAACCTAACGTTTGTGATAGCCTACCAATATAAATTGATAAGTGAATATTTGCTTAAAGTAAAATAAAGGTTACCATGGTCCTCGAGGGCTGCTATCTCATTAGAGACGGTTGACTGGTGAGTTTAATCTGAGGGCCATCATGCCTTGGTTGAGATTTGAAAGGTGTTACCTTTTTTGGTAACCTCAGCCAGTGCGCAGGAATTGAAACAGCACTACTGGCATGACTCTGCATTGTAATCCTGCCAACTGAGCTAACCAAAGTCCCTACAAAGCTTACTTTGTGATTATTGAGCTTTGAGTGTTGTTAAAGTTGTGTACCCTGTTTTCCATCCTTTTGTCCATTGAAGAGTACATTATTAGCATTGCCTCAATGTTGAATGCCATCAAGGATTTGCATTTTTGGATCATTGGAATCTCATCTGGGGTAGAGGTGACCTGTATAAGGAAGATGGGTTGCACCTGAATTGGAAGTGGGCCAAAATCCTGATGGGTAAATTAGATCGTGCTACTCAGGAGGTTTTAAATTAGTGTGGGTGATGGAGGCAAAGAGATTGTGACAAAAGAGATAAATCGGAGGCTGGTACATTTGAGAAAAGGAGCAAATCAAGTAGTCAAGGCAGGCAGGAGAAGGCAAAGAATGAGGTAAGACTGCTAAATGAAACTGCATTTATTTCATACAAGAGTCCTAACAGATAAGGCAGATAAACTCAGGGCAAGGTTGGGACTGGGATATCCTAGCTATGTCGAACATGGCTCAAGGAAAGACTGGACTGATGCTTAATGTATAGATGCTATAGGAAGGATAGATAGGGGGACAAGTGAGGAGGGGGGAGTGTAGTTTTTGGTTAGGGCTAACATTACGGCTGTACTTAGGGAGAATGTTCCTGGGAGTACATTCAGTGAAATTATTTGGGTGGAATTGAGAAATAAGGGATGATCAATGTGTCTGATTAGGTCTTCATAGAAGAAGCAGCCCTTCACCTATTGAGTATGCCATTCGGTGCGATTGTGGCTGATCTGACAATACTCAGCTCTACTTTGCTATCTTTTCTCCATAACATTTGATTTCCTTATTGTTTAAACGTCTGTCTCTTTTGCTTTGAATATATGCCATCTAGTCCTAGACTTTCCTACAAGAGAAACAACCTATGTGCATCTACCCTGTGAAGTTCCCTAAGAATCTGAGTGTCACAATAAGGTTACTTCTTGTCCTTCTAAATTCTGAGTGTACAACCCCAACCTCCTCGACCTCTCCTCACTAGGAAGCAGCTTTGTGAACCTTCTCTGAATTGCCTCCAACGCTAGTATATCTCCCCTTCGATAAGGGGGCCAGAAGTGTTCACAATATTGGGTTTGTGGTCTGACTAGTGTCTTAACAAGTTTTAGCAACACTTCTTTTTTTTTTTTGCTTAGACAATTCTCTTGGAAGTAAATGCCACCATTCCATTTGCCTTCCCTATTACCTGCTGAACTTGGATGCTAGCATTTTGGTATTCGTGCATGAGGGCTCCCAAATCCCTTTTTGTTCCATAGCTTTTGCAGACTTTCTCCATTTAAATAATATTCGCATTTTCTATTCTTGCCAAAGTGCATAATCTCACATTTACTCACATTAAATTCCATTTGCCACAATTTTGCACAGTCACTTAATCTGTCTCTATCCTCTGTATAATCCGCACCACTTGCCTTTGCACCTATTTTTGCCATCTGTGAACTTGTCTATAGTGCATTCACTTTTCTCATCCAAGTCATTACAATATTGTAGATAATCATGGCCACCAGTCTGATCCCTGTGGCACTCCAATAGTTACAGGTTGCCATCCTCAAAATACCATCCTCTTTGCCATAACTTTATCTTCTAGTAGTTAACCAATTATCTGTCCATGCTGACATACTCCCTCTAATACCATGAGCTCATATTAAGTAGCCTTTGTGGTACCATTTTATTAAATTCTTTTTGAAAATCACCAAGGCTTAGTAAAACGACAGCAAGATATCTGTACTTCTGCATAGAATTACTGTTGAATTGAATGCCAACAAAAAAGTTAGCTTTTTTTGCTGCTTGCTGTATTTGCATATTAGTGTTTAGTGACTTGTCTAAGGACACCTAGATCCCTTGGACATTACACTTACCAACTAATCAAGAAATAGTCTGGTATTGACTTTTCTACAAAAGTAAGCAACTTCATGCTTTTATTAAATTCCATCTGCCTTGTTGGAGTCCATTCATTTAGCTTATCTAGGCCCTCTTGAAGCTTTCTTGCTTTCTCACAGCTTATGTTCGCACTTACTTTGGTGTCATCAGCAAATTTGGAAACGCTGACTCTTTGTCCCCACGTTCAGATCAATTGTATAGATTGTGTGAGCAGGTGTGGACCTAGCAATGATCCTTGCAGTATCTCACTAGTAACAGCCTTTCCATCCTGAGAATGATCTGTTTATTCCTGCTCTGTGCTTTGGTTTGTTAACCAGTTTTGTGCCCAAACTGGTATTCCTCCTAATCCCATTTGCTCTGATTCTATTTACGAATCTGTTTCGGACCTTATGAAAATCCAAATATGTCACATCCACTGGCTGGTTGTCTGTGTAACAAGTCGTATCCTCAGGAAAAAAAAACACTCAACTTTGAAAGTTGATTTTATTATTGTCACGTACCTAAAGTACAGTGAAAAGTTTTGTTTTGCATGCAGTACATGTGGATCAAACTGACAGAGATTGTAGGGTGATTGAACAGAGCAAGGAATCAAGTTACAGCTGCAAAGAATGTGATCTAAGGTAGTGATAGTTTGATTTGGTTTTTTTTTTGGTTATCTTGGAGAGTGATAACAGCTGCAGTGAGTGCATGGGAATTCACCAGAAGGAAACAGATTGCAGCTGTGTCATCCTGAGAAAGAAGCATTAGGTTGGAGATGGTAGAGAATTTTCACTGGAGCTTAGTGTTTTATTAGGATATTGCTGCGATAGAAGTAATATTGTGCATTTGAATCCTTTTATTTTAACTTGATCACGGGTGCCACGTTTATTGCACATTTCTAATTGACTCATGGGCATTTAAGAGCCAACCGCATTACTGAGACTAGAGTGTAAAGGTGAAGCAGACATGGTGCCAGAGGACATGTCAGGGGGCTGCTGTCTCATTAGAGACAGGTGACTGGTTGTTGTTTAATGTGAGGTTCAGTACGCTTCAGCCAAGGGGTAAGGTCAGGACCTTCATGGTGACCTCAGCTGACACAAGAATTGAACCTATGCTATTAGCATCGTTTTACGTTGCAAACTGGCCATCCAATCAACTGAGCTGACACCCTTTACATGTAGGCCAGACCAGGCAAGGATGGCAGATTTTCTGTCCTAAAGTTATTGAACCAGAAGGGTGTTTTGCAGCAACTGACACGGCAACCATTAGGTTAGATGAAATTTATGAAATTCAAGTTTTGCCATCTGATATGGTGGGGTTCAAACCCATGTCCCGAAGCATTAACCTGGGGTTCTGGATTACTAGCCCACCAACATTGACAATCTGTCACCACCTTTTGCTTTGTGGTTTGTTCTGAAGTCTTTTAAGCCTTCTCCTCTAGTATTATTGTTTAATTAACATTTGGTTCTTTGTTAGGCCGTTAAATCTTGAGCATGCACACACAATTGCTCCTTTCCGAGTTAAACATAGTTGGGCTCATGATTGGCAAGCCTCCTAAAGTTTTATGATCCACTTGGAGTATTTGAGCATTGTCTGCAGTCTTAAACTCAAATGTCTTCACATCTTATCTGGTTCATTAGTTAAGATTGTGAAGAGTAATGATGCCAACTCCCAATTTGTAACGGATGATACTTGTGAACAGTATCCAAATAAATCTACATCCACGTATAACTACTTTTCAACCAATGTCTGGTTCTCATCCAACTGATCAAGAGTATAAATGCAAGAAAGTTACCATAATCTTGTATAAAACACTGATTTGGCCTTGACTAAAGTTTTGTGTCCTGTTTTGGGCACCACACATTAGCAAGGATGTGAAGACTATAGAGTTGATTATAGAAAAGTTTCTTGAATTGTTCCGGGAATTAAGAACATCAGTTACATAGATTCAAGCAGTCTACTTCTGTAAATGGAAAAGAAATAGTAGCAAGGTGAATAGGCAGAAGTATCATGATTGTAAGGGGATTGAGCAGTGTACACAGAGAGAAACTATTCCTGTTTGTGAATGGATTGAGAGGAGGATATGAAAGTATTTTTTTTAAGATAATTATGAAAGAAGTTATGGTTACATGATGAAGCAATTGGATGCTTCTCTAAAGAGGAACAATGTGCTCTGCTATAGGGAAGGATAGGTGTGTGGCACCAGGTAAATTGCTCTTGCTGTGAACCAGTATGGACACTGAAGACCAAGTGGCAGCCTCTTATATTGTAACCATTCTTGAGTTTTCTAAATCGCATCTAATGCTGGAGGGTTAATTCTGTAGAGAAAACAGTAAAATGGAGGTAAGTAAGATCTTGGTATTGAATGGGTCAGATATACAAAAGGTTAAGTTTTTAATACATGATTCATTGTTCATTATTTTTATAGAATGTGATTGTTATCAGAGAAACTGTATGTGCCCTCCACACCCCTGTGGTCAATGTTATTAGAACATTTTCATTATAAACCATATTGTCTCTTTTTATATTCTTTCTATTGCTTATGTCATGTGTTTGTATTTCCCAAGGGCTGTGGCAGCATATCTGCGAGCATTAAGTCTAAGTCCTAATCATGCAGTTGTTCATGGAAACCTGGCTTGTGTTTATTATGAACAAGGATTGATTGATCTGGCTATAGACACATACAGAAGAGCCATTGAACTGCAGCCTCACTTTCCAGATGCCTACTGCAACCTGGCTAATGCACTGAAGGAGAAAGGAAATGTAAGAACTTGAAACTGATAATGTTGCGGGCTGTGTATTGTATGCAAACAAATTCAACAATTCTGAATTTGTCATTTAAGAAGTGGACAGCATCCTTTTTGGACAAGAATGACTCCTGTCACTTGGGTATAGAAAGATATGAATGAGGCTGGGGAGAAACAATAGAATAAAGAGTGAGAAAAGGGGCATGTTATATTTGTTTAGAAAAGTAAATTTTATGACGGCTGAGGGATGAATGACAACATAGAGAAGCATTGGGAAATAATTGTTTCAGTCCATAAACCATTTTCTATTTCATATGGTGGAAAGGGTTGTCTTGTGTTAGTAAAAGTTAGTTGCTGATTTGTGCATCCTTTCCCTGATAGGTTGCTGAAGCAGAGGAATGCTACAATACGGCACTACGACTCTGTCCCACGCATGCCGACTCTCTCAACAACTTAGCTAATATCAAAAGGGAGCAAGGGAACATTGAAGAGGCTGTACGACTGTATCGGAAAGCTCTTGAGGTGAGATGGTGGGGGAAGAACCTTGGTAATTGCTGGATGTGTAACTGATTAACAACTATATTTCTGATTTTGCTTTTCCCACTCAGTTTTAACTCACTTGCCATGAAATTTGGAAACCCTAACGTTGTAAGCGATTACTACCAGTAACTTCAGAATTTTGATTACTTCATGTAAATGAAAGGAAAATTGACTGCCTTTTTAAAAAAAAAAAAAATTGGTAGCTGGGAACATGGTGTAGTACTGCTCAAAAAGTTGCTAGCATGATACAGGTTTAAAGAAATCTAATCAAAGGCTGTGCTCACCTAACCTAAAGGTTTAGATAATGACTGTAATTTTGTAATGATGGAGATGAGCCACTTTTATGGTATATCAGTGTAGGAAATGTTTCATCTGTGAAGTCTGTGTGTGAATGGGCATTCGACAGTTAGTGATATCATAACTGAACTTGACAGCCATCATTTAAAATCCATTTATGAGCCCTTCTGAGCTGGAATAACTTGCTTTGCATTGGAGAAGTGGGACCAATTTTGGCGATACATGTAGCGTTCTGCTTGAGAATCGAAATCCACAGAAACTGGATTACACTCCTGGAATTTTCCTTGTCTGATGTGACCAACCACATGCCATCTATTGATCGGTTGAGGAAAATGTTTTTTCCATGGAATCTCTCAAGGGATCTCACATTTTTCCTTTATGGATTATAAACTGGAATGGAAGTTAGACACTTGCTAATTGCATGTGTTTGTAATTCATAGAATGTTGACCAGTATTAGAATGAAATAATCATGAGGCTTTTTTTGGTGTTGTAGGTGTTTCCAGAATTTGCAGCTGCCCATTCAAACTTGGCCAGTGTGTTGCAGCAGCAGGGAAAATTGCAGGACGCATTAATGCATTATAAGGAGGCTATTCGGTAACTGCCAACTTGCATGCTATACGTAGCAATGTATTCAACATTTCTCCTGTTCCTGTTCAAGTGATATGGTAGAAATTGAGAATTTGACTTTTGTGGTTTGTCATGATTCTTCATTTTTATAAATGGTGTAATCTTGTGTTGCAGAGAGTTACAATGCATTGCAGAGCATTTATCCAAAATGTGTAGTATCTGGTAATTTAAGAAAAAGGATAGAGGTGCAAAGCAATGCAGTGATACACATGACAGTTCTCTGTAAAATAAATTAGCTGAGCAGGCAATAGTTGTCTTAACTGTTTGAGTGTGTAAATCATTAGGATGTCTGTTTTTAGGATTGAATCTGAAAATAATAGCTTTTATTTAGCATCTTTTTAGCATGATGAAATGTTTCAGGATATCTTGCAGGAGCATAATTAAGTGAATTATGACAACAAGCAATAACATGACTTATTAGATTAGATGACCAAAAGCTTTGAAGTTCAATGACCATTGAACTGCAGGTGAACAAGTCTGAGGAAAGAATTCTAGAACCTGGGGACTTGGCAATTGATGGAATGTCCATCAAGGTAGTGCAGTTATAATGGGAATGCTCTAGAGAAGAGAATAAAAATATTTAGTGGAGCTGGAAAAGACGACTGAAGGAGGGACAAGACCATGGAAGGATTTGAAAACACGTGAGAATTTTAACGTTTGAACATTTTCACAGCCAGTCATTATAGGTAGTAAACTCAAAGGTGATAGGGATGGAAATTGCTGCAAGTTAGACATGGGCAGCAGTAGTTTGAGTGACCTTTTAAGATTAGGAAGTAGAGAGTGTGGGAGACCAGTGAAGAGTTTGCTGGACCGATCCAGTATAGAGAGAACAGGGACTGCATAATGGTTTCATCAGCAAATGAACTGAGACAGAGGCCAATTGAGGTGATGTTAGGGAAATGGGGGTGGGGGGGGAGGTGGGGAGCTGGAATCCTTGTGATGGCATCAATAGCATTTGAAAGTTCATTTCTGAATCAAATGCATCAAAGTTGTGATCAAACTATTAGCGACTGGAGTTTAGAGTGGGGACCTAAAAACAATAGTGCCTTCCCTATTTTTAAGAGAATTTTACTCCGGTGTGTGCCAGCAACTTGAATATAAATCTGGTGACTGCAATTTATTATTCAGTGAAGAATTTTTCGTCTCTGAATTTTGGTTTCTCACTGTTTTGCTTTGGGTAATGTGGAATATCTATAGGCCAGGAATTAACTATGGAAATGAATTTGGTTTTAAAAAAAAGCTTTTTTTCAGAAAAATATGTATTTCATCTCCAACTTCCAGCAGTACGAATGCTAGCACTGTTGTGCTGGTTTATTCACCAATATGACCAAGATGCTTTCCTTTACTCGTTCATGAAACGGGGGTGGTGCTGGCTAGGCCAGCATTTATTGCCCGGAGGGAAGTTAAATGTCAACTGTGTTGCTTTGTGCCTGGAGTCCAGGTAAGGATGGCAGTTTCCTTCCTTAAAGGGCATCACTGAGCTAGCAAGTTTCATGATCCTCATCAGGCTGTTAACTCCTAGATTTTTATTGAATTTAAATTCCACCATCTGCCGTGGCGCAATTCGAACCCAGTCCTTGGCAGGACCTGGGATCAACAGGCTAGTGATTAATACCATTACGCCATCGTCTTTTTTTTTCTTTGTAGAAGCAGCTTTGCCAGGAAGTCAAGTATTTGACACATTTCAAGTTTATGTTGGAAGTGTGGAGTACATGTCACGGAAGTTATAGTTTTGTCTTTCTTTAATTTTGTTTTATTTCGGGTTTCCCTGTGTCCTTTTCCATAGTTGCTTTGGGCTGACTTGTAGGATGATGACTGTTGACATTTTATTGATTTACAGATATTACTTTTATTTTGACAGAATTAGTCCAACCTTTGCCGATGCCTACTCAAACATGGGAAACACACTCAAAGAAATGCAAGATGTGCAGGGTGCCTTGCAGTGCTATACAAGAGCAATTCAGATCAATCCTGCTTTTGCTGATGCTCACAGCAACTTAGCATCGATCCATAAGGTAAGACTTCACAATGTTTGGTAATTTATAGTGATCTAATGTGCACATTAGGAAATAATTTGTACCATTTAGAAGCAAATCATGTGGATTTTTAAGTGTGCAGGTCATGACAAGTATTTAAGTAGACATAGTTTCCTAAGACTGGTTTGATTATTTGAAGGTGGAAGTTGTAATGTTCTCCTACCATTAAAACATGTCTTATTTCTCTCTCTGTAGGATTCTGGAAATATTCCAGAAGCCATTGCTTCCTACAGAACTGCCCTGAAGCTAAAGCCTGACTTCCCAGATGCTTACTGTAATCTGGCACACTGTTTGCAGGTAACAAGATACCTCATGAATTGGGTGCACTTATTCCAGTGAAACACACCTTTTGGTCTTTCACCCACTGATTTTAAGGATATTTAGAAATTCACACAAGTGAATGGTATAAACATTGCTAACAGTGAACAGCATGTCTTTCAGTTATGTTTGCCCTTGGAATTAACTTAACGTTCCTAATTATAACTTGTAAGGCTGAATGGTATGCTCAGTTATCTCATACTGTGCAAAATAACAGCATTTACAGCACAGAGGCAGACCATTTGGGCTAATAGGGCCGGCACGGTGGCTCAGGGCTAGCACTGCTGCCTCACAGTACCAGGGACCCGGGTTCAATTCCGTCCTCGGGCGACTGTCTGTGTGGAGTTTGCACATTCTCCCCATGTCTGCGTGGGTTTCCTCCAGTGGCTCCGGTTTCTGCCCACAGTCCAAAGATGTGCAGGCTAGGTGGATCGGTCATGGAAAATTGCCCGTAGCGTTCAGAGATGTGTAGATTAGGGGGTTATTGGGGATGGGTCTGGGTGAGATGTTCTGAGGGTCGGTGTGGACTTGTTGGGCTGAATGGCCTGTTTCCACACTGTAGGGATTCTATGATATTATTTTCCATTTGACCCCTGTTATCTAGTTCCTACTTTAAAACAAGTTAGACAACTCTGACCAGAATGTTAGGAATGTATTTGCCCAGGTGTCCCATTATACAGAAGCAGCCAAATCACTATGAAGGCAGCTGGCACCGAGGCAAAACAGTTCCACTTCTGTTAGGAAAGCAGTTACAATAATCTTTAATACTAAACATACTCTGTCTAATCCTATTTGTCCCTTTAAGCTTACAATAATTTCCGCATCTCTTGTAGATTTATGCATTTGCCCTGTCTTGCCCCTTGCCCTCCATCTCAGTGTTTTTAAGGTGTTATCGTTGTTGAACCCGAGTCAGCATTTTTCTCTGCTCAGCCCCAAAAGAGTGGCAGTTTGTTTCCAAAACCCCCACGTGACGTTTTGTATCTCTTCATTAGATTAAGAGCTTTTATTAAGTATTTGTAAAAGAATTGTGTCAACTATAATCCCAATTAGTTTAAATTTTGAAAAAATAAGCCAGCAAATAGATTTGAGATGTTGTGCCACTGAGCAAAGGACTAGCAATTGTGGAAAAGACGTTATTGCACAAGCTGTTGGGTTTTGCCTGCCCCTACCACATCAAAATGGTAAATTCAGTGAAGGGAGCTCTTATAACAACAATCCTAGCTGATTTTGATGCAGAGTTGAAAATAAACCTGGTTTTCTTCCCACGTCTCGCCCATCCCCTTTTGAATTGACACAGTTAAGAACTTTGACAAGTTACGTAAATTTCATTATTACTTTGGCACATACGTAAAATGGCCTTGCAGTTATAATTTTGTGCAGGATAAAACTTTATTCCTGATAATAAGGCAAAGGAACATATCAGTAACTGCTAAATTACTCGAGATGGCTTTATTGCAAAAGTGGTGAGAATAAACTTCTTTGTATGGATTCGTTCTCAGAATTACTAAGTGAAATTATAGAATGTAGTGAAACTTAAAAGTAGAGTTGTATGTGAACAAATTTGGTTTAAATTCAGCATATTTTGCCTCTAGATTGTATGTGACTGGACAGATTATGATGAGCGAATGAAAAAATTGGTCAGTATAGTAGCTGACCAACTGGAGAAAAATCGGCTGCCATCTGTGCATCCACATCACAGTATGCTGTATCCACTGTCCCATACCTTTCGCAAAGCCATTGCGGAACGTCATGGAAATCTGTGTCTTGACAAGGTAGAGTAAAATTATATACTATTGTATGTTACAACTCATTTTCTGTCTCCATACGTTGTAGATGTTTCTTATTTGTCCAGAAACGCAATTTATTTGATCTTTGCCTGTCCTTCCAGTGGGAGGCCATGCTAAGAACTGGGACAGATGAGTTAACTCCTACTTAATACACTCTCTACTATATAATTTTGTGTACTTTTTTAAATAAACAGCTATGCTTAAAGCCGTTCTGATCACTAAATTAGATGGTGATTTTTGTAGCTCAAAATTCAACTGATAGGATAAAATATTTGCTCTCGATCTTAAATACACTCAGTAATCTTGTAAGAATCCTTGTATTCTGGGAAGGTCATGGAGGATGGGAAAACTGCCAATGTAATTCCCTTACTTACAATTTTTTCCTCCTTCCCTTTTTAAGTAAAGGCCAGTTATCTTAACATCTGTTATTGGAATGTGTTGGAATGCATTATAAAGGATATAATACCAAGCATTTAGAAATATGCAATATGATCAAGCAAAGTTGGCATGATTTCTCGAAGAGGAATTCGGACCTGATCAATTTATTAGAATGCTTTTAAATTAACAAACGGGATAGGGGAAGCAACATATGTATTATATCTGGATTTTCAGAAGGCTTTAGAACATCTTAGACTATTTAAGATAAGAGCCCATGGTGTTGGAAATAGTATATTAGTTTAGAGAGAGGACTAGCCAACTAATGGAAGAATTGGGCGAAGGGAAGCAATTTCAGGATAACATATTGTAACTAGCGGAGTGCTACAGGGATCATTGCTGAGGCCACAGTTATTAACAACATATGTTAATGACTTGGCTGAAAAGAATGAATGTACAATAGCCAAGTTTGCGAATGACAAAAATAGGTGGGACGGCAAGTGATGAGGATGACACCAAAAGAGTTTGTGTGTGGGTTAAAAACTTAGTAGATGGAATATAATGTGGAAAAAATGTGATGTTACGCACTTTGCCAGGAAGGAGAGAAGAACTGAATATTATTTTAAATACAGAAAGATTGCAGAAATCTACAGCACCAATGGATTTGAGAGTCCTCTTACATGAATCACAAAATGCGAACATCCAAGTTCAGCAGGTAATAAGAATGGGAAATGGAATGTTGGCCCTTAGTTCAAAAGGAATGAAATGTAAAAATAGGGAAGTCATGGCAAAACTAGACAAGGCGTTAGTCAGACCATAGCTGCAACAGTTTTGGGCCTGAGTCTAAGGAAATATAAATTGGCATTATTGTTGGTCCAACGTAGGTTGACTGCATTGATCTGTGGTATGGACGGACTGCCTTATGAGGAGAAGTTGAGTAGATTGTGCCTTTACGTGGAATTCAGAAGAAAGGTGACCTTGCTGAAATGTACAGGCTTCTTAGTGGACTCCACAAAGTAGATGAGGAAAGGTTGCTCTCTCCTGTGGGAGAGTCTAACACACAAGGCAGCATAATCTCTGAATAAGAAGTCACATACTTAAGACCCCATTGAGGAATTTCCTCAGTGTAGTAATCTGTGGAATTCTTTGCCACAGAGGGCTGTTGAGAATAATCAAGGCTGATATAGACAGATTTTTAACTGATAAGGGAATTGATTACGGAGAAAGGGTTGGAAAGTGGAGTTGAGGGTTATCAGATCAGCCACAATTTCATTGAATGATGGAGCAGATTCAATGAGCTGTTTGGCTTGCTGCTGCTCCTACATCTTGAGTTAAAATTGGCCAGAGAGCTTGAACCAACATAACTTTGCTGTGCTGAGTTCACTCCAGTTCATTTATTGTTGAAGTGGAAGCTTTCTAAGAAAGCTAAACTCTTAGAACTAGGCAGAAAGATGTAGTTTTGACAACAATGTGAAGATTTTGAATTAAGTTCTGAATGGTGTAGGTATATATTTTCAGTGTCAACAGTGGTGCTTTTCATGTGAGACTGGATTGGTTTATTATTTTCATAAACTTTTTAACTCTGTTTTTCTACAAAAGAGTAAACACAACTTTAAAAATGGGAACAGAAGTAGGCCACCCAACCCCTTGAGTCTGTTCAGTCATTTTAATAAGGTCATGGCTGATCCTTAATCTCCACTCCATTTATCCCTCAATTCCCTGAAAATTCAAAAATCTATTGATCTCAGCCTTGAAAGCACCAAACAAGTGAGCCTCTGCTCCAATATTTTGAGTGTACAAATCGAAGATTCCTAGCTTTTGGCTGAAATAAATTCTCAGTCTGGAATGCCTTCCACCTTATCCCATAGCTGTCTTTACTATCCAGCCAAGAGAAGCAGTTTCTCAGAATCCAATTTGAGTCTGCTGAGAAACTTCTTGCCTCCATAACATTATCTCTCGTTCTTTTACACATCACATTATGATCCCTTTCTACCTGGTCTCCTCATTGGTCGACATCACAAAATCAGTTTAGGGAACAAAAGCAAAATACTGTGCATGCCAGAGTTCTGAAATCAAAACACACATTGGTGGAAAAACTCAGCAGGCCTGACAGCATTTGTGGAGAAAAGGTTTGCATTTTAGAACATAGAACAGCACAACACAGTACAGGCCCTTCAGCCCACGATATTGTGCTGAACTTTTACCCTAAACCTAAGGTCTATCTAACCTCCACCGCTACCTTATACTATCATCCATATGCCTATCTAATAGCTGCTTAAATGCCCCTAATGAGGCTGACTCCACTACCCTCTCCTGCAATGCATTCCACGCCCCGACCACACTCTGAGTAAAGAATCTACCTCTGACGTCTCCCCTATATCTACCTCTACTCACTTTAAAACTATGCCCCCTCATAATAGCTACCTCCACACTAGGAAAAAGTCTCTGGCTGTCCACTCTATCTATACCTCTGACCATTTTGTACACCTGTATCAAGTCACCTCTCATCCTTCGTTGTTCTAAAGAGAAAAGCCTTATCTCTCTCAACCTTTCCTCGTAAGACCTTCCCTCCGTTCCAGGCAACATCCTGGTGAATCTCCTCTGCACCCTTTCCAACACTTGCACATCTTTCCTGTAATGAGGCGGCCAGAACTGGACACAATACTTCAGATTTTAAGTTTAGTATGACATCCTTCATTGTACCCCCTCCCAGGACAAGTACACCATTTGAGTATAGTGACTAAAATGGCATGTATCTTACTGTAGATATGATCTTGAAAATACCCTGTTCTATTGCACAAGAGTTCCTTACTCTTGGACTGCAGCCTGCTAATAACAGGTGCCAACATTCCATTTGCCTTTCTATTTATGTTGTAAATACCTGATTAGACAAAATCAAATAAACAGTTTGTGAAGGTTGAAGTCATGTATTCATTACAGATCCTTTTTTAAATTAAAACTTGTAAATGGTTTATTTATCATCACATTGATCATTTTGTGAAATCAGATTTGGGTTTTTTTTGATTAGTTGGTTAGAATGAAAAGCTGTCTACAGGGACTGATGGCTAGCTAGGCTAGAGTCTACTGACTGGATGTCTGGTTTGCGATGCAGTGTGATGCCAACAGCATGGGTTCAATTCCCAACTGAAGCACCATCCTTCTCAACCTCTCCCCTTGCTTGAGGTGTGGTTACCCTCTGGTTAAACCACCATCAGTCACCTGTCTGTAGTCAACAATCAGCCTTATGGTCTGGTAGCAGTATGGCAACTTTTGTTTTGTATCCACTGGAGTTTAGATGAATGAGATGATTGATTGAAACATTGAAGTTCCTGTGGGGTCTTGAAATGTCGCATACGGAAAGAATGTTTTTGAGAGAACCTAGCACTAGGAGTTGCTGTTGAAAACCAGAAATGGTTTGAAGACATGAGGTTTTTCTCTCGGTTGGGGAGTCTTTGGAACTCCCCTTCAAATGGCAGTAAAAGCAAAGTCTTTGAATATTTTTTAACACAGAGATATATAGATCGTCTCAGCATGAGCGTGAAAATTTATTGGAAATAGATTACCTGTAATTCTGTTGAATAGTGGAGCAACCTTGAGGGGTCAAATGGCCTCTGGCTGCTGCTAATTTGCATGGGCCTATGTAGATAAATTAACAGTAATTGACAGACCTTTGGGAAGAGTTGCGTTTACAATTATGCCTCTGGTAACATTTGAGAGATGCTAATTATGTTCACCATCCACCCCTGCACCCACTGCAACAAGTTAACTTTCTGCTAACTGCCATGGTTTTAATTTGCAGATTAATGTGCTTCACAAGCCACCATATGAACATCCAAAAGACTTGAAAGCTAGTAATGGACGTCTGAAAATTGGTTTTGTGAGTTCAGATTTTGGGAACCATCCCACCTCTCATCTGATGCAATCAATCCCTGGGATGCACAACTCAGAAAAATTTGAGGTATGTCCAGGTAGTAAAGATTTTCTCAAGTTCTGGAGTTAGAACCTTTTCACATAGGTACTGTGCAGTCTCTGAGTGACCAGACTTTTTTGTCTTATGAATTGTGAAACTGTTCAGCCATGAATAGTTGATCAAATTTGTATGGGATTGAATTTTCAAGTGCAACAGGGTCATGTGCACAGTATTATTTAATTAATCCTACATCAGAGGAGCAAATAGAGTCATAGAGCACGGAAACAGACCCTTCAGTCCAAGCCAGCCGTAATTCCAAACTAAACTAGTCCACCTACCTGCTTCTGGCCCGTATCCCTCCAAATCTTTCCTATTCATGTATCTATCCAAATGTCTTTTAAATGTTGTAATTGTACCTGTATCCACTTTCTCAAAGTTCACTCCACACATGAGCCACCCTCTGTTTTCAAAAAAAAAATTTGCCTTTTTTTTTTAAAATCTTTCCTCTCTCCTTAAAAATGTGCCCCCTAGTCTTGAAATCCCCCATCCTAGGGAAAAGACAACTACCATTAACTCTTATCAATACTTCTTATTTTATAAACTTCTATCAGGTCTCCTCTCAACCTCCTATGCTCCAGTGGAAAAAAGCCTCTCGCCTATCCAGCCTTTCCTTATAACTCAAACTTTCCATACTTGACAGCATCCTGGTAAATCTTATCTGAATCCTCTCCAGTTTAATATCCTTCCTATAACTGGGTGACCAGAATTGGACACAGTATTCCAGAAGAGGCCTCACTAATGTCCTGTACAACCTCAGCATGACTTCGGAACTCCTATACTCCAAAGGACTGAGCATTGAAGGCAGGCATGCCAAATGCCTTTTTAACCACCCTGTCTATATGTAATGCAAACTTCAAAGAATTATGTATCTGCATCCGTAGATCCCTCTGTTCTACAACACCTACCCAAGGCCCCACCATTAATTGTATAAGCCCAACCCTTGTTTGTTTTACCAAAATGCAGTACCTCACACTTATCCAGATTAAACTTCGTCTGCCATCTTTCAGCCTGTTGACCCATTTGATCAAGATTCCTTTATAAATTTGGAAAACCTTCTTTACCGTCTACTATGGCTGTGTTTGTCAAGATAGCTTAATATCAAGACTTGTTTGGACATGTTTGCAAAATACAATGTAAAAGTATAGTAATACAATTCACGATTATGAGGGGAGGTTTTAAAATTTAGTGAATGAAGGGAAAATTTTATGTGCTGTACTGTCCTTTTATGATTTTGGGGTGTGTGATGTTTTCGTGTGCCACCTATGCTGCATGAGACACCAGTTGCCTGAAGCATTCTTGTTGAATAAAAGTATGAGAGAAGGACAGCCTGTTTTTTTTTTTTAAATCTTCTGAACGTTTCTGTTCCCCATTAATTTTGTGAAAAATAAACAGCAGAAGATGGACTTTTCTTGAAATGATAAATGTCAGAAGGCACTGCCTGTGCTATGTAAATTAGTCTTCTGGAATGTAAGAACAGGAATATACCATTTTAGTTCCTTGGGCTTGCTCTGTCATTCTGTCTTTTTTTTTAAAAACATGAAAGTGACTGGATTTACCTGACTTTTTCCCATAAACACACTTTTGCCTGACATGAAAATGAACAGTTGTCAACCACAGTTTGCAGAAGAGGGTTACGAATTTAGACATCTTCCTATGTAGAAATTCTCTACTTTCAGTGAGCGTCCAGCTATAATGTTGAGATAACGTGGTCTTTAATTAGACTGGTAGCCATTGTTAGGGGAGATTCAAATTCTGGAGAATACACTCCTTAGTTTGTATGATTTCTCCTTGGACTCTATATAAGTTAATATTCATTGTAGATATGATTCTGTTAAGCTGAGAGTGCCGGCTAAGATCATATAGCATTCTTAAGGTATGGTGCCTAGAACTGTTTAGTCTTCCAGATTTGGCCTAACCGTGGTTTTGCACAAATGTAACATGACAACCATGCCTCCAAGATAAGGAGTGAACATGCAATTTATCTTTTTGACCATTTTCAGTAACTGTTAGCTGATTTTAATGACCAACGTACTCCTCTAAACCCTGCCTTTCTAGCTTTTCATCATTTATGGAGTATCCTGTTTTAATCCTTTTTTTGAGTCCAGAGTACATTACTTCTCATTCACCTCAATGAATTGGTATAAAAATTTTATTTGACACTTTTTTTTGGTTAAATTAAGGGAATGGGCTAAAGTTATTTGTAACTTTACTGTTCCATCTGTGCTGATTACAGTACTTTGTGTAATCAGCAAATTTGGATATGTGGCTTTCTATCCCATCATTCCAGTCTTAAACTGTGCCTATACAGAATGTAGGTAAATTAGTAAATTAGCACAGCAATTTTGTTTTTCCTCTGGTGGATATGATTGGAAAGCCCACATGTTCTGTTTACAAGCATTTAGTAGACAGAAGGAATGAAATGTGACCTTTTAAAGACACTATGAAAACAATGATAATGGGTCCGCCAGACTGAGACCCAGGGTCCATTAAGTTTATTAAGTGGTCAGCAGCTGATGGCCTGTTGGGGATTAAATTTTTGGGTAAATCCCAAGATACAGTGGAAGAACCTGAATGAGAACAGGATGCTGGCTGGGATTGTTTCAGTCATTCTGCAGAACTAGTAGGAGCACTCCTCCTAGGCTTCACAGAAGAAACTTTAAAAACTCCCTATGATTTCTTGAGCCTCCCATATTGTGCCAATTTTAGCTGACAAGTGGAAGCATACCCATTTCTGCCCTAAAATAGAAACAAAAATTGCAGATCCTGGAGACCTGAAACAAACAAAGAAAAAATCAAATTGCTGGAGAAACTCAGCAGATCTGGCAGCACCTGTGGTGAGAAGTTAATATTTGGAGTCCAGCAACTGTTTTTCAGAACTCTGCCAGACCTGCTGAAAGAATCCAGCATTCTGTTTTTGTTTGTTCCAATTTCTACCCTGATGTGTCTAAATAACTTCCTGAGTATGCAGTTTTAGGATCTCATCAGATCTGCACCAAAATTAGTTGGATCTTTTGACACTTGAGTGGAATTGGTACTAAATACGACATACATTTTCAACTCTGTGGAATTTCAGTATCTGTAAATTCATTTTTCTGTTTCTCTTGATAGGTTTTTTGTTATGCATTGAGCTCTGATGATGGCACTAATTTTCGAGTGAAAGTGGTCGCTGAAGCGAATCATTTTGTGGACCTATCCCAGGTAAGAACTAGTGGAATGTAGAGTTCAAGTACTTAAGAAAACATTGATCAGGAATTTTAAACACCAATTAATCTTATCTTAGTTTTGCTTCTTGTATAGATTTTGATTTGTGATTGTAATCCAGTGTTTATCTTTGAGCGCAAGGACGGATGAGTTCAGACTAAATTTGAAGTGATTAATTTAGTGGGTGTGATTGTTTCCTGAAACAGTGTCCTTGTTACTCTTCCCTGATGAATGTCATTGATCTGGGCTGAACAGGCACCAGAAGAAATACTTGGCGATCAGCAACTTGTTTTCCTACTTTCTCTCACTTCTGTTCTGACAGATGTAAATAGTTTGAAAGAACTCTCGCCCATAGGAAATAGGAACAAGAGTAGGCTGTTTGGTCCTTTTGCGCTTAATCCGCCATTCAATATTATCATGACTGGTGATCCAACTCCAAATCCTCCCACTTTCTCCCATACCCTTTGATCACTTTAACTCCAACTATATTTATCTCCTTGAAAGGTTTCAATGTTTTGGCCTCAACTGCTTTCTGTGGCAAAGAATTCCACAGGCTCACCACTCTGGGTAAAGAGATTTCTCCCCATCTCAGTCCTAAATGGCATACCCCTGTCCTTAAACTGTGACTCCTGGTTCTGGACTTCCTGGTTATCAGGAGCATCCTTCCTGAATTTATGCTGTCTAGACCTGTTGTGCTTATATAAATTTTTAATGAAATCCTCCCTCATTGTTCTAACTTCCAGTGAATAAAGTCCTGATCAATCGATCCAGTCTCTGTTCAAATGTCATTCCTACCATCCAGGGAATCAATCTGGTAAATCTTTGTTTTCACCCCCTTCCATTGCTAAAATATCCTCCATCAGAGAAAGACAAAAATTGTGATAATACTTCAGGTCTGGTCTCAACAAGGCACTGTACTGTTCAGCAAGACATCTCTTGCTCCATGCTTGAATCCTGTCACTGTGTAGGCCAACATACGATTTGTCTTTTTTAGCAGCTGCTGCACCTGCATGGTTATTGTCAAAGATGGGTGTACTAGGAAACCCAGGTCTCGTGGATGACTTCACATGTGCACATTTTACTTCACCTGGAATGCATTTGTCAGCTCATTCAACTTGTGCAAATTTACGTTGAAACATCAATCACCCTCAATTCATCTTCCCACCCAGCTTAGTTTCGTCTGCAAACTTAGAGATTTTACATTTTAGTTCCCTCATCTAAATCATTAATATGTAGTCATGATGTGGTGGTTCCAGTGTTGGCCTGGGGTGGACAGAGTCAGAAGTCACATGACAATAGGTTATAGTCCAACAGGTTTATTTGAAATCACAAGCTTTTGGAACGCTGCTGCTTTGTCAGGTGAAGTTACGTGACTTCTGAATTAATATCAGTACTTGGACCCCAGGTATTCACTATACCAGCAGTAACCCACTAGTCACTGCCTGCCACTTGAAAAAGCGTGTTATTTTCTTGGAGTTTCTTGTCGGCCAACCATTTTTGATCGATGTCAGTACACAATTCCCAATCACATGCTTTAATTTTACATGCTAACATTTTGTATGGGACTTTTTTTTTATTGAAAACCTTTTGAGTCCTAGTAAATCACATTCACTGGCTTCCCATTATCAACTCTCAAAGTTGTGTCCTTGAAAAAATCCAGTCGATTTGTCAGGTATGATTTCCTTTATGGTAAATCCATATTGCCTCTGGTTCTGTCACTGTTTTCTACGTGGTCTCTCAATCTTTTCCCTGATTTATCAGGCTAGATGCTAGGAAGCACTCTACATGCAAAGGGTGGTAGAGGTTTAGGAACACTCTTCCACAAATGGCAGTTGTTGTTAGATTAATTATTAGTTTAAGCCTGAGACTGATAAAATTTTTGTTAAGCAAAGGTATTAAGGGATATGCTGAAGGCAGGTAAGTGGAGTAGGCCACAGATCAGCTATGATCTCGTTAAGTGGAGGAACAGGCTTATGGGGCTGAAAGGCCTACCCCTGTTCCCATGTTCCTTGTTTTTGCTGTATCCTTTGTAGAATATTGGGGTTACATTGGCAACCTTCCAATCCGTAGAAATGCCTCCTGCATTTTAAAATGGTTGCTAATGAATGCAATGACCAAGTTGACCATCTCTCAATGTCTAGCAATTACTGGGTCAGTAGCGAACTCATAGTATTGAATGACCTTCCAGCCAAGCCAACATTGAAAGAACTAGTATTCTACTTCAGCCAGGCTGAACACATGAGAGCACCAGAATCCGTTATGGTTTGACCTGGTACAAACGATTTCGTAGTTATCAACTAAGACCCAATGGTATCTGATGAAGAAACATCCAAACTGCTTTGATAGTAAATGTCACCATCTAAAGGTCCAGCTCCATGATTGAATCTGCTACTTTTGTTTCAATCACACTTAATTAAACTTTTGACTTTTGTTTGCCAGTGTGTTTGTAACATCCAAACAGTAAGCATATATAAGTTCAACAAAATGTCTATCTCTGTTCATAATATCTCTAAAGTCTGATTTCTGAAAAGAAATGTTTCACTTGCAATGTGAGCTAGTTCCCAGCTTACAGCTCCCTCACCTTCATCTGGAGCATCTGTGCTCCTTTGCAAGGAACTTCTGTGTTCAACCAGTTGAAAGAACAGTGACAACATTCCTTTACGTACATAACATGAACTGATTGTTGTTTATTTGATTTTTAATGTCTCTTTTCCTTTTCCCTTCCTTTCTTGGATGCATATGTATACCTTTCTCCAACCCCAAATAATTATAAATGTGATTTTAAATTGAACTTAATCTAAAGAAACACACCAGTGCTTTTTTTTTTAAAGGATAAGAATAAATAAAAGCAAATTTTAAATTCTGATGGATTGTCAAATTACTCATTTTAATTAAGTGGACTTTTTCTTTATTTAAAGTTTTATCTTTGCGTTCTGTTTGTCTCCTAATTCAATCGATCATGTTTATTTATCTACTTACGTTTTAAAAAAATGTCTAAACTTCCATGTGTAAATGCTTTCTGATCTGGTTGCTAATCTCAGTGCTGTGGTATACCAAAATATTCTTTTTAATTTGGTACCATGCCTCCACAGATCGCACACTATTTGTGGCCTGCTTGGGCTGGTGGCAAGTTCCCTTGCTTTGTTGATCTCAACAAAATCTTAGCTAATGATAGTCCACTGTTCATGCTGAAGTGTTAAGGTTCAGTTAATTATCCAGATTAAATTCTGATCAGTCATTTCTTACTTTGTGGCCATTCAGAGACTATTTGAGTAATTTGGGTATTATGGGAAAGAAAACCTATCATCCTAAAGAATAATTATTAACATTCTAGAAGTCGAGAGAATGTACTACCTAAATGTAAAAATAATCAGCTACATACCTTTAGTTCAGATTAGATTTAGCTTTTATTCAGCTGTGGTCAAGGTTGTTCCAGTAATTTAAAGTATTGTAAGCTCACTCTGCGGTTTGAAGCAGTAGATGTTCAGAATTTTGTCTACTGACCTTTTTAAACTGCTTGAGATAAAATTGAAGGCTTCTATCAGGTAGATTCCTCCTTGCTATTCAAAATGGTATCAGCAAGGAAAATTTCCAGTTAGAGACAATGGAGACAAAATAGTTATAGAAAGGTTTGGCTTGGAGATAACTGCTGAGAAAGTCGATGCTGAATAAAATAATTTTATCAAGGAAAATTTCGAGACAGTAAACAAAAAGCTAGATTGCATTCTGAGAGAAACTCAAATTATTGGAGTTGCAGTTATTGCTCGGAGCAACAGTAGTGAGACACATTTATGTGCATGTTCTCAAAGGAATCTTAATCTTTATTTCTCTAACATTTAGGAGATAAAAATTTGAGTTTAAATAGTATTTGTTCTCCTCTACTCCTAGTGTTATCCACAGGAATAGAAGATCATGTGCAGCTATAGTTTTTCTATAACATCATGACGTTCGTGGATGCTCGATATGTCCTTAGAACTTTTTAGGCTCCATATTTTGTTTTTTTTATTCATTCACATGATGTAGGCATTGCTGGCAATGCCAGCATTTATTGCCCATCCCTACTTGCCTTTGAAGTGAATGACTGACTTGCTCAGCCATTTCAGAGGCAAGTTGAGAGTCAACTATGTTGCTGTGGGTCTGGAGTCACATGTAGGCCAGACCAGGTAATGGCAGATTTCCTGCCCTAAATGACATTAGTAAACTGGATTTTATTTTAATGGGCCAATCAACAGTGATCGCTATGAGGTCAGCTCTTTTATTCCAGATTTTTTTGAATTCAAATTTCACTACATGGTGGGATTTGAATCCATATCCCCAGAACATGAGCCTGGGGTTCTGGATTGCAAGTCCAGTGATGTTACCATTCATCCACTGCCTCCTGTCATGGTTGTGAAGGATAAATATTGTTCAGAGCATGAGGGCTGTCCGTAGATATATCATGTATGTTTAGTCGCAAGCCCTATTATAGTCAGGCTGCATCAGACACTACAAAGGGCTGTAGGGATTGAGTTGATGAAATTCCTTGTATTAGAATAAAGTGCAGTATACCTTTGATACAAATTCCCTCACTAAAATTTAGCCAGATTCCTATTCCTCTGAATTGTACCTGGATGTCCCGTAAGATATGTTTAGTATATGGTGGTCGTAATTTATTGTTTGAACTGTTCAGATTTGTTAATTGGATGAGTTGCCATTCCCTGTCCTCTTAACTTCAACTTGACTGGATGATTTTTGAAATTGTTTGTTAGACATTTTTTAGAAATTGTTAGGCAGCTTCTACCTGAATAATATAGGATTGAGTCACTACCACTTGTATAACTTAAATGTTTGACTTTCTGTTGCACCAAGATTGTGTTCTATTATCCCCTAAGATGCAGATAATACATTTCCTTGTTGCATCTTTTGTGCAGATCCCATGCAACGGCAAAGCCGCTGATCGTATTCATCAGGATGGAATTCACATTCTTGTTAATATGAACGGATACACAAAAGGAGCACGGAATGAACTGTTTGCTCTTCGTCCAGCTCCTATACAGGTCAGTAACCATTAAAATCATTTCTGTTCATGATGTAACAAGTTTGTTTTCCTTTGTTTACATTGTACTTTGCAGAATATTGGTCAGTGCAATACTTTGTCCTTGAATGTTTTCTTCTTGCCCTATCATTTACTCTGATGTACTTTACTTTAGCCCTGACTGATCTCTTGAGCTGAGTCTCTGAATCATCACTGACTTTCTCTGTCCCTACTTAAGCTGATTATTTCTTTTTCCCTCCTTACCTCAGCTGCAATCTGCCAAATCTTGTCTCCTGAATGTTGTGTCCTGAAATCTTAAGATGCACAAATTTATTCATCTGAAACTCTTCACCCAGATTTTAATCCAAACAGCTTCTTTCCCACTGCTTGATTTCAAAATATGCTGTATCTCCACATTCCTTTAGCTTTTCCTGCTGCTTCGCTTCCTTGTTTCCAAATTGTACTCTTTGGGTCCAGAGTACTGTCTTACTATTCTTCTAAACTTCTGTTTTAACCTAATCCTATGCCCTAGACCCCTCTCCCAAAGCTGCTGTGTTTGTTCATCTCTGCTGGACTTTAACACTGCTTTCTTCATCTCTGATATTCCTTCTTTTCATCCCTATTTCTGCTCTATTTAATATGCCATAACATTTAAAAAGAAATTAGGGTCATTGACAATGCTCATCGCAGCTTCACCACCACATTTGAACTCCTCTGCTGTCTCTAATTTGACTGATTTATTTCATAGAATCATAGAATCCCTACAGTGTGGAAGTGGGCCACTTGGCCCAAGAGTCCACACCCACCCTCTGAAGAGCTTCCTACCCGAGACACTATGGGCAATTTCGCACAGCCAGTCCACCTAACCTGCACATCTTCTGCAGCCATTGTCTTCCAATGGAGTCGTTTGGAATTGATTAATGAAAGTAGTAGTAACATGACATTTAGAAAATCTGAATAGAACCAGGTAGATTTTATGAAATTATTTTATGAAAGGGATATTGTGTTTGGAATCCCAAAAGGCTTTCAGAAATGTGCCACGCAAATGGTAAACACAAGATTAAAAACTCATGATGTTGTGAATGTTATAATCACTGACGGAGTTGATTTATGTATGTGAAGCACAGTTGGATAGTAAGGGGCATGGTCTGTGCGAGTGGAAACTTCACCTCGGTGGGACAAGATAAAGAGCGTGTATATGGGAATTTGGTTCAAGGAGGGAATTCAACTCGTCAGTACTTTCCAAGTTCAAACTTAAGAGTAGCAATTTGATTCAGACTTAGAACTAATAGCCTTAAAGTAAATTAAAATAGCCAAGTTAGTAAGGTAGCTGCCTGATGGTGGCAACTATCAATCAAACACTTAAAATACCTTGCCTAGAGGAGATGTTGATTATTGTAGCAGGAAGTGAAGCTAAAAAAGGACTCGTATCAGTTTGACATAAATGAGGGATTTTTGAACTGTATAGTCAGTGTGAATGAAGACGTTCCCTGAATGATACAAAAGGTAAGTGACAGCATCTGGAAGTTTATTTTTAAAGTGGGAAGTCAGTGCATGGTGGGGCGAAAAGGTGCTTTAAATCGAGTTTACTGTAAGAACTAGTCTTCAAATTGATGTGAGCTATAGGGGATAAAAGGCATGTCTCAAAAGATCAGTGAGACCAGCAGTAGAGTGATGTCTCAATCACAGCATGATACAAATATACAGAAAGCAGCTGATTGGTTTGTACAAGTGCGCAGTTTTTCTCCTGTTCAGTTTGTTTAGATCATTAGTTTTTCTCTCAATAGCTTGTTAAATTGATTCTTATGGTTTTAAAAAAAATTACAAAGTCTAAAGACCCCAGATTCTAGGGTAATTATTAATGTAAATGTGGAAGAGATGGTAGGGCAGGTGGATGTGCTGCTACTGTAATGTGGGTGCTGCTGAATATAAATATTTGAAGCTTGAGAAGTTTCGGATCAAGGCGTAAAGCAGGAATCTGAGCTGTAGGCATTGCATCCGTCAGGGGGTGATGTTAATTTACACCAGGCAGGAGTCACACCCTTCAGACTTGGTGATTCAAATTCTGTCCATGATCTGGGACAGAAGGGCATGACTGCGGATGCAGCAAGCAGAGTCAGATGTACAGCATGGAAACAGACCCATCGGTCCATCTCGTCCATGCTGACCAGATCTCCAATAATCTAGTCCCATTTGCCAGCATTTGGCTTATATCCCTCTTAAACCCTTCTCATTCGTATACCCATTCAGATGCTTTTTTAAATTTGTAGTTGTACCAGCCTCCTCCACGACCTCGGGCAGCTTGTTCCATACATGCACTGCCCTCTCTGTGAAAAAGTTGCCCCTTAGATCCCTTTTTAAATCTTTCCCTCTCACCTTAAACCTATGCCCTCTAGTTTTGGACTGAAAGCTGTCTGCGGTAAATTTTATTTAAGGCAAAGTGACTATATTCTGATTTATGTTGTAAGTAAAGTATAACAATGATGTGCACACCCAAATTATGTTTCTATTAATTGATTAATGGGAATATTTAATCACCTAGCCCATCTGTGGTCCCATAGGTGCTAGCTGTTTCTTAAAAAAAAAAAAAAAAAATTCCTGCACTGGCATTGGAGTCAGCCCAGAGAAGTTCCACTCAGTTGATCCTCGGTATGAAGGGCCAGTCTTGAGGACTTCATTGAAACAGAAATTTTAATAGGGCTTGACAAATACATGTGGAGAAGTGGTTTCCCCTTTTGGAAGAATCTAGACCTGGAGTGTATATCTGAGTGTAAGGCATTGCCTGTTTACTCAGATGAAGTGGAATTTCTGCTCTTGTAGGATAGTGAATCTCTGAAATGTTTTTGCAGAAGACTGTAGAGAGTTAATCATTAGATTTCTTCAAAGCTGAGATTTTTTTAATCAGTTAGGGAATTGAAGGTTATGGGAAGTAAAGGTAAGAAAGTGGAGTTGAGGATTATCAAATCAGCCATGGTATCATTGGTGGAGTAAAATGTTGGGTCAGATTGTCTACTTCTGATCTTGTCTTCTGGATAAATGGTTCATTTTGAAGTTGGCAACTGTCTCGTGAATTTCCACAGGGATTACTGCTGGGGCTTCAGCTGTTTGCAGTCTACTAAAATGACTTGGATGAAGGGGCAAGCATGAATTGCGCCCAAATTTGATTGCCAACCAAGGTGACAGTAAATTTTAAGCATGATGCTAACAGTTTGTGGATGATTGGATATAGATTGAGACTTAGCAAAGATTTGGCAGTTTGCTTGTCCACTTTGGCAGCGAGGATAGAAAAACAGAATTGTCTTCTAAATGGAGAGACTGCAGAAAGATGGGACATAGTGATCTGGGACAACTTTGAAAATGCTGGAGAAACTGGTGTTCAGATTGTACACGACATTGGTGAGACCTCTTCTAGAGTACTGTGTTCAGTTCTGGCCTCCCTGTTATAGGAAGGATATTATGAGGTTGGAGAAAGTTCAGAAGAGATTTACCAGGATGTTGCTGGGAATGGAGGGTTTGAGTTATAAGGAGAGACTGGATAGGCTGGGTCTTTTGTCAGTGGGGCATACGAGGTTGAGAGGTGACTTTATAGAAGCTTATAAGATCATGAGAGGTGTAGATAAGGTAAATAACAGGTGTCTTTTCCCTTGCCTGGGGATTTCAAAAATGGGGGCATATTTTTAAGGTAAGAGGAGAAAAATTTAAAGACATGAGGGACAATTTTTTTTAAACTTCCAGAGGAGGTGGTGGAAATAGTTTCAGTTACAACATTTAAAAGACGTTTGGATAAGTATGAATAAGAAATACTTGGGATATCGCCAAGCGCGGGCAGATGGGACTGGTTTATCTTGGGATTATGTTGACATGCACTGGTTGGACCGAAGGGTCTGTTTCCGTGCTGTATGACTCGATAAAGTCTGCCAGCATTTGTAAAGGGAAAAGCAATTAATGTTTTGAGTCCAACATGACTGTTCTTCAGAAGTAAAATGAGTTGGAATCTGACATGACTGGTTTTCATGCCGAAAACTTAACCTAGAGATACAAGCTAGTAAATAGGGAGGCTTACTACTGAGGCTTTATAAGGCTCTGGTCAGGCCATGTTTGGAGTATTGTGTGCAGTCTCGGGGCCCATATCTCAGGAAGGATGTACTGGCCCTGGAGCAGGTTCAGAGGAGGTTGACGAGAATGGTCCCAGGAATGAAGACTCTGTAACTATACTCATTGGAGTTGAGAAGGATGAGGGGGGATCTGATTGAACCTTACAGAATACTGAATGGCCTGGACAGAGTGGATGTTGGGAAGATGCTTTCATTGGTAGGAGAGTCTAGGACCCGAGGGCACAGCCTTGGAGTAAAGGGAACGGAGATAAGGAGAAACTTCTTCAGCCAGAGAGTGGTGAATCTAAGGAATTCACTGCCACAGAAGGCTGTGGAGGCCAGGTCATTGAGTACACTTAAGACTGAGATAGATCGGTTCTTGATTATCAAGGGGATCAAGGGTTACGGGAAGAAAGCAGGAGAATGGGGTTGAGGAACTTATCAGCCATGATTGAATGGCAGAGCAGACTTGATGGGCCGAATGGCCCAATTTCTGCTCTTATGTCTTATGGTCTTAAATGCAGTGTTGGCTTTTATTGCAAGCAAAATGAAGCTTTAAAGTAGGCACATCTTGCCTCAACTGTACAAGGTGTTAGTAAGATTATACCGTGGGTACTGCATGTATTTGTACTCTTGTTATTTAAAATGTGATGTACTTATAATGGCAGTTCAGGGAACACTTTGATAAATTGTTTACTGGGATAAGGGTTGATCTATGAGGAAAATTTGAACCGGTTGGGCATGTACACATGAGAGTTTGGAAAAATGAGAGATGATTTTAGTGAAACATAAGATTTTGAGGGGTCTTAACTGGTTAAATGTTAAAAAGGTTGTCTGCTCTTATGAGGCAGTCTACAACTGGAAGAGGCCGTTTTAGAATTGGATACCTCTTGTTACGACTGAAGATTACTTCATTGAGTGTTGTTTTGGGGAAGAACAGCAGAGGCAGCTTCATAGAATATATTAAAGGCTGAGAGCAGAGTTGAGGCCACAATCCTATCCTCCACAATCTTATTTGTCGATAGACTGGCCTCAATGGGCCAAAAGCCACAGCTTTTCCTACTCATTATGTTCATGTATCTTTGATCCCATCACAAATTGCTCCCAAACCAGTAGTTCAGTTCTTCCTCTTGGCAACAGTTTAAGGCAGTATCAAACTACTCGCAGTCATGGTGCTGTATTTGACTCTGAATTGGATTTCTGGCCACATATCCATGCTATCACGTGATGATTCCTTCATAACGTTGCTTGATTCTATTTCCCCTTGGTTGACAACTTTGTTACTTTGTGGACATGACTATTTAAATGCCCTCCTGTCCAATACCTCACCTCCACTATGTTCATTTCTCCCAAATCTTATATCGTAAATTCTGCTGCCCAATTCCAGCTTGCACCAAGTTCCTTTCGTCACTTCTTCTTTGCTTGTTCACCTTCATTGGCTTCTAGTCTCTTGATGCATAGTTTTAATGTTCTTACATTTGTCTTCCATTCCGCCCCCCCCCCCCCCCCACCAAATCTCCTGGTACCTACCTGTAATGGCATCTATACCCACAATTGTGCAAGTTCTCTTCACTCCTTCTAGTTTTTGTTCCTCTCACATCTTCATATTTTCATTGCTCCATCATTGGCTGGGCCTAGAACTCTGAATCTTTCGACCCTAAACTCTCCCTCTTCTTGCTCTTTTTCTTAAGATGCTTATTGAAAGTGACCCCTTTGACCAAATCGTTTGGCATGAATCCTAATATTTTATGCAAGGCTCTTATCAAATTACTTTCCTGTTAAACCCTGAAACATTTTAATGTGTTTAAAAACACTATAAATACAAGTTCATGGTGATGGAATGCATTGGAGTTGTTTTGTCATCTCTTCTGATGAATATGTTGATCATCTTGGTGAAGGCATTGCTATGTCTAGCACCTGTTGAATAATGGTTTTTGTGGCTCAGCAGTTTATTGTAGCTGCTCGGTGTTTCATTTACTACTTGGTACTCTGAAGTTTTGAACATATTGTATTGATCTGTGTCTTTGTGTGGAATCCTTATTGTTGAGCTCATGTACAGCTTTATTTCCCTAGGCAATGTGGTTAGGTTATCCTGGAACAAGTGGAGCCCCATTCATGGATTATATTATAACTGACAAGGAAACTTCACCGCTTGACCTGGCAGAGCAATACTCTGAAAAGCTGGCCTACATGCCCAATACTTTCTTTATTGGAGATCATGCCAACATGTTCCCACATTTAAAGGTAATGTGTTAAATTTGCTTTTCTGTGCCTGACCGTTAAAAGGTGTCCTTGGAACATCATGGCTGAGTATTGAACATGTGATCTCTTGCTGTGTTTTCCTCATTGTAGCTGTAAAAGTGCTTCATGAACTGAGTGGGGACTATATCCCTTGGACACAACTGGTCATACAATTGCTGTGCTGGTGAACAGTTATCAATTAGCTGTCTGTTGCCAATCAGAGCTTCAACTGTACACACCTGTTTGGCTTCCATTGTCTGCAACCATGCTTTAATCACTGCTCAAACAACTAGTTGTGAAAACAGTACCTTTTAAGTGCTATCAGGTTACTTTTAAAGATATGGAGCAATCTTTGATTTTTAAAGCCATTCTTTTCTCATTTTACTCTGCATTTAAAAATACAGGGAAATAAAGAAAGACACTATACAAAATTGGCGCACAAATGGATAATAGATTAATCAATGGGAAGCTTTCAGTCTGAGATACTTTAATGCAGGTTCCATGAATCTGGTTTCATAATTATTCCTGGAATCCCCTCCTTGTGCAGATCCTGGATATTTACTAGAATGGAAATAAACAAGAAAGAAATGTAGGAATTCTGCTTCGTGTTTCACTTGTCATGGTGACTTTGCCACTTCAGACTGTTGCGATTGTAACAAGGTCAACCAGGTGGACCTCATAGAATGAGTTCCCCTGATTAGGGCTGTTAATCTGGTCCAGTCCGAGGGCCCTGGCTGACACATTAAAAAGTGTGAATGTCAGAGATACTGATACTCTGGTGCCTGACTCTGTATGAGGCAGGACTATAGGCAAGGAATTCCCATGTGTAAAGGATTACTTGGTGACGAAATACTGGCCACTGGAGTTATTTCACAGCCCTTCTGCTATATTGTTATTGCTTGACTTAATTGTCTTCGTGACTCCAAATAAATGTATAAATGTGTTGTGTTTTAGAAATTTTTAAGTCCTGAACATTTCAGTTAAGCAATTGAAATACCAGAAAATACTTTCATAATCGAGTTTTAATAGCCCACTGTTGGCACAAGTTTGAAAGTTGGTAAGCTCAGAAAACACACTGGTATATTAAAATTTACTATTACCTAAAACATTTGATGCTGTATTGCAATAGCTCATTTGGATCTATCACTGTAGCTGCTTTGCTTTTAAGTAAGTGGCAGGAACATGTGAAACAAACACCTACAAGATCATGCAGCACGGCCATTCAGAGTGTATCCTGTTTATTCCACTGTCTCTTCTCGCCTTTGCATACACTCTTCCGATAGTTCTAAAATTCTACCAATTAATACCTTAAGATATTATCTGGCATTAGGCGAAAGGGTATGTTTGTAGTTTCTGTTTGGGTAGTTGTTAGTGATGCATGTTTAAGAAATAACCTTACCCCTTGAGAAGTATTTGAACTTCTGTAAAGGATTAGGTGGAGATCTTTGCAGGTCTGATGCTTTGTAAATTAAGATTGCTTTTCTTTCTTTTTTTTTTAGAAAAAGGCTGTGATTGACTTCAAGTCAAATGGACACATTTACGATAATAGAATTGTTCTGAATGGTATTGATCTGAAAGCATTCCTAGACAGCCTGCCTGATGTCAAAGTAGTGAAGGTAATGAGGGAAAGCTAGCATGTATAGATGCTACTGTTACTTAGCTTTGTACATGTAATTGTCCTAAGTTCACCATTTGTGGTAGTTTTGGTACCATAACTGGTTGGGCAGTATCCTTTCATGATATAGAGATACTGCTTAAAACTTATGCCTCTTTCTAGACTGTAAATGAAACAGTTTCCTCTATCAGAATGAATTTTGAGTCTACTATTGCCATTAGGATTTTGGTAAAATATTAAAATTTATTAATTTTTATTTGTATTTACTTTATCATTATCATTAACGTAAATGAAGTGGTGGTTCAGAATTCTTTTCCTGATGATTCAATTTAAATTTGATCTGTCAGTCACTTTCTAACAATCCTGTGTCATTTTAGTGGCAATGATGCTTGCTCATAACTTAAGTAATGGGTCAGGTAACTTACAATTCACTGTTAAGGGTTGTTTGGCCATTATTTTCAGTGTGTGGACACTATTGTGTTAAAATGATTTTTCCTTGAGGAAAGGCTTGCAGCGCATTTAGTTAAATGGCTCCTTTGTTTCAATTCAAAACAACCTTTGGTTTGTATGATGTTATCTCTGGCCATTTTCAGAGAAATCTGCTGGCAAATCACTATTTTGTAGTGCAAGATGGGTAATCCCGCCAAAGGCAGATGATAAGCAGTTATCGTGCCTTGTCTGGTTGTCCAGTTGGTGGATGTATCTTGGTGTTGCAAATATTTTTATAATTGGTTTTAAGAGCTGAGAGCAAGAGGCTCTTAATTAGATTGCAGAACCATGAGCATGTAGAACAGCAGAAAGGAATAAAACATTTGAATGCGTAGTCAGACAGAATACAGTGCAACTGTGCTTTTAAATTGGATGAGCAGAACACTTAGTGCATGAGTGATCTGGCATTGGGTACAAAAATGCAGTTGCATTTGAAGATCAGAGTATTCATGTCTGATACTACATCACACTGCTAATAACATTTGTAACATGGCAATGGGGCATTCAATCTTACCAGCTTGTGTAGTGTATATTCTCAACACGTAATCTGAATTCCACTTTCTAACCTTGTTCTAATATTCTAGAATACTCCTACGCTTTTCCAACTCATATAAATGTTGCCAAATTCTGTAATTTGATTACAACAATTCCATGACTTTACAAATCCACAGTACACTTTTAAAAGGACACTGTGTCCTAAATATCTCTTGTCCATGCCCCTCATTGTAGGCCATAAGCCAGTGAATACTGTATGCTTCCATCTGTTTGTCTGTGCCATCTTTAAAGACCTCCATTAATCATCCCATAAGGCCCACTGATCTAAAGAAAACTGTCGCAAATTTTAAAGCTATCTTCATATTTAAGTTGCTTCATACTAGACAGCCTGATGGTGAATCTGCTTTTGTCTTTTTTTGCCTTTTTATATGCACCTAAAAAGTATTCACAATTGTGCATATATTCCCACTGTGTATTCATTTACAAAATCATTGAGCATTGTTAAATTTAGATCATATATATGGCAAGCAGTTTTTAAATAGCTATTTACGCTCGTAACCATTGTATTCTCTGTCATTCACATCACACAGACCTTCATTTATGGAAAACCATTAATCTCCCTTTTTCCTGTCACTCGATTCCAGCATCCACTTTTTACCAATTTGTCCATGTAACTATTTCCTCCAGTTTCCTTGGATTCTGAGTTACTTATCTGGCCGCCTTTCACATCCTTAGTTTTAGAAAACATTTTCTCCAGCATATATCCACATTACAATTATTACTATTGCTTGGAGGTTTCACGGTTCACCCCTGAAATGAAAATCTGCTGGAGGCTAATTTGCTGCTTGTAAGCAAACCCCACAGCCGTAACCTGCTGATCTGTTTACAGTTGGACTACTGTTGCTCACAAGGAAGGAGTCCTTGCCTTTGGGCTTGTGTTGTATGTGGTGTGTTGCGGGCCCTGGATTAAGGTGCATAAAATCATAGCTTCGTGTTCCATAACCTTGCCAGGCTTTAAATCTCCCTGTGTAAACTGTACTGTATTGTCAAAATGAAAATAAAATGTTAACTTATTTGCAGAATGCATTGGTTTATTATAAATTTAAGTCATTGCCACTATATTTTTGCTTTAATAAAAATTGACTTGTGTTCTTGAGGTTAAGACTTTTGCTTCCTTGTTAAAAAGGATAACTCCTGAGGTGTCAAACAGGACTTGTCGACCACTTTGTTATGTCAGGTTTGAGAATTGACATAGCTTTTGCATCTGTAGTAAGTAGAAAATGCGCGGTGTCAGCACACACATAGGGTAACAATGGCACAGCAAATCAATGGACAGCTTTATAGTCTGTCTTTGACAGAAAACTTAAGTCACACTATTGGTTCTTGTCAGTCACGTTGATAGAAGGAACAGCTACTTACATAATTCGCTGAAACATTGTTCAAATTGCAACCTAAAGAAATTATTTCTGTTGAAACACAATTGTTGATGTGGAGTTTGGCTATTGATACGTGTGGCATCCACAACTGTGCAGAACACTTTCATAGGGATGGTTGTAATGCTTTTGAGACATTTTGATCAGTTAGAAGCAGTAAATTGTACCTTTTTTAGACGTTCTTCCGGAGATTTTCATGCTTTTTATGTGCAATTTGCAGCTGAAATGTCCTGATGGTGGAGACAACTCGGATACCAACTCTGCACTTTCAATGCCTGTTGTCCCAATGAATGCTGCAGCTGAAGCAATTATCAACATGATCAACCAAGGACAAATCCAGGTCACAATCAACAACTTCACAGTCAGCAATGGGCTGGCAACAACACAAGTAAGTGAAGAGCATGGTTGAGCTTGATGTGGGTGGGAAATTAGAATGTCTGTCTGTGATTGGAGGAAATTCTATTGTGGTGGTTCTAAAGAATTTGAGACTATGATCATGTAAACTATGTTTGTATGTCAGAAAGAAGGTTCAACAAAGCTCAGGTGGTTTTGATGGCCCGAAATGGATTGTTGTCCTTGGTGATGTAAGGAGATGGCAGCTGTGAACAATTACAGATCTTGAAAGTGTAGAGCAATGAGATGTTTACTTCGGGATTGCCACCTACGTCTACAGGCTGTATTCTGGGTCAAACTATCTTCGTGCTTAGCTGAAAATTAATCAATACACATTCAATCTGCCATCAGATCAACAACAAAGCAGCAACTGGCGAGGAGGTACCACGCACAATCATTGTTACCACACGGTCACAATATGGGTTGCCAGAAGATTCTATTGTTTATTGCAACTTTAACCAGCTGTATAAGATTGATCCAAATACTCTGCAAATGTGGGCCAGTGTAAGTATCATCCCTAAAGTTCAGTAAAAATATGAATCGGGTATTTTTATGTAGCTCTTATTCAAATTGATTATTTTGTGAGTAGAAATGATTTTAAGGGATAAAAGGTTGGGAAAGGATTGAAAATTCTAGATTAAGCACCACAGGAGATGAGAATGAAATTGTTACCCCAGATAGGTAAATAACGTTGGGGTCTTTCTGGAAAGAAATGGAGAACAGTGAGGGACTGTATATTCACAAGTGTATTGATCAGTTTTAGGTAAGATATTGTTGTTTCACACTTTTATGTAAGCAAAATGAAGTGGCACTCTTCTGTTTAGAAGATCATTGTTCTTTCTGCCTTGTTGATAATCCCTCAGTGAATTATTTTAGAGGGTATCTCCTTATTCTGTCCGTGTTTTTGAAATGAAAATGACATTTTTATTTCGTTGTGAATTCACATCCAGCACCACCAGTAAGTCCTTTTATCATTGTTGGTTCTGTTAAGTTTCTAATATCTACAAATGTTAAGTTCATAGTTTCTTGATTTGTTCCTGGAAAATTAATAAACACTTAAAGTTCTGCATAAAGGTATTGAGTTTCTAACACAAACACCCTTGCAGGCAGTAAATTTCAGACTCGCACCAAAATGTTTTGCTCAGCCTTCGCTCTTGTCTTCCTTTTTTTTTCCAATGCAAAGACAGACGCAAAGTATTCATTGAGTGCTCTGCTCGGAGCTTGTGCCAGATTCTGTTTATTTTCAATATTTACTTTTAAATTATGTTACTACTTTCTATGATTTTGAACCAGAAATTGGTAAACATTTCCTCAACTTCCTTCACTGAACATGAATTCAGCTGTAACTTTATGCTTAATCCAGCAGAATTCATAATTTTGCAAACAAGTTTAAACATTGTTCAACCATTACAGCACAGTTGCGCATCATCCAAACTATGAGCAATTCCGTGGGAGATGGATGAAAATGTATAATACTAGATAAAGTATTTGATGGCCTTTTCTATGTAATGTAATTTTTTTTTAAAGTCCAAGTCTTAGAAAATGTTACTAGTGATTGAGGCAAAGGAAATCATGAAGCACAATGCCAGTAGTGACATTAGCTGGTTCACTAAGTATGCTTAATGTATTCTTCTTACAGATCCTAAAACGAGTTCCTAATAGTGTGCTGTGGCTACTTCGATTCCCTGCTGTGGGAGAGCCCAATATTCAACAGTATGCCCAGAGCATGGGACTGTCTGCCAACCGCATTATATTTTCACCTGTCGCCCCAAAGGAGGAACATGTAAGGCGGGGACAGATGGCTGATGTCTGTTTAGACACTCCACTCTGTAATGGACACACTACAGGAATGGATGTACTCTGGGCAGGGACGCCAATGGTGACTATGCCAGGTATGTGCAACAGTGGGTCAGAACTTCTGTCTTCTTTGTAGAAGGACTTTAAGTTGGCACTTGCAATTAAATGTTGCTAAAGGAGCTTCAAGCTTAAATAAGATACCTGTGCTTGCTTTATTACTATTGGTAAAATGCATCGGTTTAGTTTATCAGGTGATTATTTTATTGAGTTGAACGTTATTGTTTTTTTATTGCTGTGAAAAGACTTTTAATGAAGCTTTTTATCTTGCAAGAAATACTGATGTGAAGGGAAAACTCACATTTATAATTTCAGAGGGGACTGTTAATTGGTCAAGTGAATTCTGATTGGTAAGTGTTGGAAAGCGTTGCCATGGAAAATCCAAGTTAGATGATGAGTGACAGTTTCAGCTTTTCAGCCAGGCAAGTTCATTCTGATTGGTCAAGACATTGCCCTGAGGAATTAATCGATGAATGCTGTCACCTATTTTGTTGAGTTGAAACAAATATAATGTGTGTGTATATGTTCTTGTCTGCAAAGAATGGGTTTCATGTATTAATATGTAGCTTTCAGTATTTGGAAGTACACATGTAGTATACGCTGAACTCAACTGACAATTCTAAAACGGTTGGCTGTGTAATTCATCTCACAGGCATGATTGTTAGGCAAATGTTCTCTAATTGCAGAGTCCCATATAATGTTGGGCACTGCAGTGAGTTTTTTGCCTGCTGTGAGCAGCTAAAGGGATATGCTATGTGGTGTGTCTCTGAGGGACATGAATTTCATTGTGGTGTGGTATCAGTTATGTGGACCATGTGTCGCAAACACTGATGCACATGGTACTTTTTTTTATATATGTATATTGTGTGTCTGTGTATATATGGTATCACGAACGCTTTGTAACTGGAATGGGAGGAGTGTGTTTTGATGGTCACAACAAAAATTTAATTGTTTTACATAGCTTTGAAAATCAGTGTGATATGGCCAATACATGTGCTTTTTCCATGTTAAACATAAAATAAAAAATTCTATCAATCAGGTTTCTTTCATAAATAATGCCATGTTATTGATTTATTATGAAACAAAATGTATTGAATGATGATGCAAAAACAAAGAAATACACCGGGATGAAGAAAAACTGGATTTCTTTCTGGAGATTGACTTTGGGAGGAGTGATTGAGGCGAAGGAAAACTCTGGCCAATAAATCTTAGTCTTTGAATGCAAAAAGAATAAGGGCTTAGATGTTCAGACACATGTTGGTCTGACAGATGTAGACAGTTGTTACTAAAAATGGAGTCTTAGCAGATACAGCTTTTGTAGGAAATGAAGTATTGAGAATCCTTCCAATCGTTCTTTGAGAACAGCTGGGTTCCATAATAAATGCAACAAAAAGGCTTTTCAGAAGTGAGATTTGAGTTGAACAACTTTCAGCAAGCTTCCTCAATTGCAATTCTAAAACTATATCCTAGACTATGAAGCACAGGTATTTTCCCTAAAGAGTGTTCAAACAATGAAGACCAGCAATTATCTTGGACCATACTGAGTTAATGCCCTTTTCTTAAAAAAAAAAAGGTAAAAGAAGTTAATGAGCTGAGCTGTTTACCGGGATAGAAATACCCATCTTGTCACTAATCACTTGAAACAGGTCTACGTTGGGAGAAAAAAAAATTGCTAATATTCTTTCTTTGTTTTAATCCTGCCAGACCTGAGTTTTTACAGTGCTTCTGTTTTCAAATTTACAACATGTACAGTAATGTGCTCTTTTACAACATTTAATTGACTGCCACTTCTCTAAGTTCGTCCTGGTATTCTTATCTTGAAGCTCTGCTGTTCTTTCTGGGATTTCCATTTTGTCTCTTTCATTGTTCACTTTTACTGCTTTCCATGTCCCCTTTGGTGACTTGTTCGAGATCCACCTTGCATCATGTGGATTTCAACTAAGCTTTCTTTGTGTTATAAATGCACCAAGGATTTGGGGTATCTCCTGGACTTAGTGTACCTTGAACCATTTTCATTGCATCATTGAAACAAATAAATTAGGAACTGGAGTAAGCCACAACAGAGTACAATGAATGAAAATGTGAAGTTGTTCAGTTTGGAAGGGAGACCAAAAGGGACAGAGTAATATTTTAATGGAGGAAAACTACGGAAAGCTGCAACACAAAAGGTACTTGGATGTACTAGTGCACAAAACACTGAAAGCTAAGACACGTGCAGCAGGTAATCGGGAAGTTTAATGGAATCTTGGCCCTTATTTCAAGGGAGTTGGATTATAGGAGTTGGGAAGTCTTATTGCAACTGTACAGTCTGTTCGTGAGACCACATCTGGAGTACTGTGAGTAGTTTTGGTTCCCTTTTATTTAAAGAAAGAGATCATTTCATTGGAGGCAGTCGAGGGAAGGTTCACTAGGATGATCCCCAGTATGGAGAGTGTGTCTTCTGAGCATAGGCTAACCAGGTTGGGATTCTGCTCCATTGGAGTTTATGAAACACATGGGATTCTTAAGGGCTGGACAGAATAAATGCTTAGAGGATATTTTGACTCGTGCGAGGAGTGTAGGACCAGAGGGCATAGTTTCAGAATAAAAGGGTGCCAGTTTAAGACCGAGATGAAGAGCAGTTTCTTTTCTCGGGGTTGGAAGTCTTTGGAACTCCTTGCCACAGAGCTGGGTGGCACGGTGACTTGGTGGCTAGTACTGCTGCCTTTACATTTTCACTGTCATCTTGGGTTTCCTCCCACAGTCCAAAGATGTGCAGGTTGGGTGGATTGATCATGCTGAATTGTCCATAGTGCTCAGGGATGTGCAGGGTAGGTGGGTTACTCATGGGAAATGCAGCGTTACAGTAGGAGGGAGGGTCTGAATGGGATGCTGTTTGGCGGGTGGGGTGTTGATCCAATGGGCCAAATGGCCTGCTTCCATACTGTAGAGTTTCTGTGTAATAGTGTCTTTGTGTGTGTTTTAAGGCTGAGAGATTTGTGATCATTAGAGGAATCGAAGGTTATGGGGAAAGGACAGGGAATTGGACATGAGGAATGTCGGATTAGCTGTGATCCAATTGGTGGAACAGGCTTGAGAAGCTTATTCCTGTTAATAATTCATACGGCCTTTGAAGCCAGCTCCACTGTTCAATAGGATTACGGCAGATCCTGTCTCTCAAATGCCATATACCCACTTTCTCTCTTCCTCCACCCCATTCCCCCATCCCACCCCACCAACCCTGTCCAAAAAAAATACCCTCGGTGCTTTTAAAATCTAGGAATGTATTCATCTCGGTCTTGAATATATTCAGTAACTTGGCCTCCATAGCCTTCTATAATAGACAATTCATGAATTCACTACCCTTTTGAGTGAAGAACGTTCTTCTCATCATAGTCTTCAATGGTTCGAGCTCTTATCCCCTGGTTCTAGAATCCCCAACCACGGAAAACTTATTCATCAAGTCTTGCCTGCTCGGCTATTCATTGTGGTAATGGCTGATCATGTGAACTCAGCAGCCTGTTATTGCTTTTCCTTGTGATTTACGCTCATTTGTGTGCAGTTTTGGGCCCCATATCTCAGGAAGGATGTGCTGGCCCTGGAGCGGGTTCAGAGGACGTTCACGAGAATGGTCCTAGGAATGGAAAGCTTAACATATGAGGACTGTTTGAGGACTCTGGGAATATACTCATGGGAGTTTAGAAGGATGAGGGGTGACCTAATTGAAACTTTCAGAATACTGAATGGCCTGGACAAAATGCATGTTGGGAAGATGCTTCCATTGGTAGGAGAGTCTAGGACCCAAGGGCACAGCCTTGGAGTAAAGGGAAGAGCTTTTAGTACAGAGATAAGGAGAAACTTCTTCAGCCAGAGAGTGGTGAATCTATGGAATTCACTGCCACAGAAGGCTGTGGAGGCCAGCTCATTGAGTACATTTAAGACTGCGATAGATAGGTTCTTGATTATCATGGGTTACAGGGACAAAGCAGGAGAATGAGGTTGAGGAACTTATCAGCCTTGATTGAATAGCAGAGCAGACTCGATGGGCCGGATGGCCTAATTTCTGCTCCTATGTCTTATGGTCATTCTCTATTTTCAGCCAGTTGGTCAAACTTTTTCTTCTTTGTTCCTCACTTCTAAAATGCTCCCAATCATCTGGTCTGCTACTTTTACTGACAATTTTACATTTTTCCAGTTTGGATCTAATTTCTCTTGTAAGTCATGGTTAAGTCCACTTTTGTGCCAGTGCCAGACCGGAATGAATGATTGTAATTTATACTCTTTAAATGTGATTCATTGCCTATCCACTGGCAAATTCTTTAGGATCCCCAATCTCTTGTTGCCAGTTTGTGCCTCAGACTTCTCTTGTATTTTGATTCAGGACCCTAGTTTTAGATTCAACTACTATACTTGCCATCTTCATGAAGAATTCCATCACCATATGGTCACTGACCCACAAGGGACCCTGTACAACAAGATTATTAAATAATCCTCTCTCATTACACAATACCCAGTCTAGATTGTTTGTTTGTTTTTTTGGTTGTTTCCTCATTGTATTGGCCTTGCAAGTTTGATTTGTCCAATGTCAATGTGAATTGAAGTCACCCCTTATTACTGTTTGTACCCTTATAGCATGCATCTGGTTTCTTGTTTAATATCTTCTTTTGCGTCTCCACTACTGTCCTAAACCATGAATACCCCTGGATGTTCAATTCCTCGACCTTTAGTAAGCCCATAGCCATGTCATAACCATTTGTGCTTTATTTATTAATGGGATGTGGGTGTCGCTGGCTTGATCACCATTTAGTGCCTATTCCTAGTTGCCTTTGAAGGAGGTGGTGAGTGCTTTCTTGAACTGTTTCAGTCCATGTATTTTAGTTGACCCACGATGCCATGAGCATTCTGACACTGAGGAATGGCAATGTATTTTTGAGTCATGGTGGTGAGTGGCTTGTAGGGGAACTTGTAGGTTGTGGTGTTACCATGTATCACCACCTCTTGTCCTCCTAGATGGAGATGGTTGTGGGTTTGGAAACTGCTGTCTAAGTGGCATTGAATT